ATAGAAAATCCCAAAGACTCCACAAGAAAGCTACTGAAACTAACAGAAGGATTCAGCAAAGTAGCAGGATATAAGATCAACACACACATATCAGTCTGATTCCTCTACACCAACAAAGAGAACCTTGAAAAGGAAATCAGGAAAACGATACCATTTACAGTGGCAGTCCCCACTCCCTGCCCCCAAAATAGAATAAATCTACTAGGGATGTAAAATACTTATACGAAGATAATTACAAAACACTACTGCAAGAAGCAAAAAAAAAAAAAAAAGACCTTCATAAATGGAAAAACATACCATGCTCATGGATAGTTAAGACTTAACATTATGAAAATATCAATACTACTTGTCACAGGCTGGGTTCTCTAGAGAAGCAAAGCCAGTGAAGCATGTGTATATGTATGTATATAGATATATATATATACACACACACACACATACACATATATGTGTATGTTATATATACAGAGAGAGAGGTTTATCTGAAGGAAATGGCTCAGAAGGTTGTATAAGCTGGCAAGTCCCAAGTCCATAGGTCAGGAGGCAGGTGTCATGCTGGAGGGTTCTCCGAACTCACATAGTTGCAGGGGCTGACAAACCCAAGATCCACAGGTCTGACGGCAGGCAGCTGGCTCACGGCTGCGAAGGCTGATAAATTCAAGATCAGCAGGTAATACGGCAGGCTGCTGCGCCAGGTCCCAAGAACTGGAGGTCAAATGCTGACAAGCTGAATGCAGGATCCAGAGCAAAGCAAAAGCTACCTAGCTTTGTCAGAAACTCCATATATATTGGATATAGGCCACACTTCCAAGAAACTCTCTTTCAACTAACTGGCTACTCACAGCAGATCCCATCATGGAGGTGATCATATTAAATCAAATCTCATCATGGAAGTAATTACATCATTATACAACTGCAAAACTACAACATAACTGCCAAACCACTGAGAATCATGGCCCAGCCAAGCTGACACACAACCTTAACAATCACGCTACCCAAAGTGATTTACAGATATAATGCAATCCCAATCCAAATTCCAACAGCAAAACTAATCAAGTCTTTCTATGGAAAGAGGCCACGGATAAGTAAAGCATTATTGAAGAAGAACAAAGAAGGAGGCTTCACACTACCTGATCTTAGAATCTACTACACAGTCATGGTAGTCAAAACAGCCTGGTAGTGATACAATGACAGACACATAGACCAATGGAACAGAACTGAGAACCCAGAAATAAATCCATCCACCTATGGACAACTTATCTTCAACAAAGGGACAAAGTCCATTAAATGTGGGAAGAGACAATCTCTAACAAATGGTGCTGGCAAAACTAGATGTCTATCTGTAGAAAAATGAAACAGGACCCATACCTTATACCATACACAAAAACTAACTCAAAATGGATCAAAGACCTAAATATAAAACTTACAACTATAAACATCATGGAAGAAAACATAGGGACAACCCTAGAAGCCCTAACATATGGCATAAGTAGTATACCAACCATAAGTAAAAATGCATAAGCAGCAGAAGATAAACTAGATGCATGTGATCGCCGAAAAATTAAAACACTTATGCTCATCAAAAGACTTCTCCAAAGAGTAAAAAGAGAACCTACAGACTGGGAAAAAAATTTTCGGCTACAATATATCTACCAAGGGGTTAATCTCTAAAATTTATAAAAAACTTCAACACCTTAAGCCAAAAAGACAAACTATCCAGTTGAAAAATGAGCAAAGGATATGAAGAGACATTTCATCAAAGAAGACATTCAGGAGGCTAACAAACCCATGAAGAAATGCTTGCGATTATTAGCTATTAAAGAGATGCAAATTAAAACTACAATGAGATACCGTCTCACCTGCCATCAATGGCACTATTTAAAAAAACAGAAAACAAATGCTGGTATGGCTGTGGGGGGATTGGAACTCTTATACACTGCTGGTGGGAATGTAAAATGTATAACCACTATGGAAATGATATGGTGCTTCCTTACAAAGCTATAAATACCATACAATCCAGCAAACCCACTCCTAGGTATATATCCTAGAGAAATAAGAGCTATGACATGAACACACATATGCACACTCATGTTCATTGAAGCATTATTCACAAGAGCAAAAAGATGGAAATAACCTAAGTGCCCATCACTGGATGAATGGATAAACTGTGGTACATACACACAAGGGAATATTACACAACTATAAAGAATAATGACGAATCTGTGAAACATCTCTCAACATGGATGAATTTGGAGGACATTATGCAGAGTAAATAAGCCAATCACAAAAGGGCAAATAATTGTATGAGACCACTATTAAAAAAAAAGAAAACGTTTACACACAGGAAAAGAGTAAGAGAAGGTAAATTACTAAATAGATAGAAGACACATGGTAACACTGGTGAAGGGAAAGGCAGTACACTATTTGGGAGAAGTCAGTAAAACATGACCAAGGCAAAGGAAGACACTGAGAGGAACACAAAAACAAAGGGCAACTATGGCAATTACTATAATATAGACAACTCTGCAACAACAGTATCAACAAACAATAATTTACAAAGGAATACACAGGTAGATAGGTATGCTAAAGAGGCATGGGAGGATGTAAGCGACTGCACCCACCTGAAGATATACGTTAGGTTATAGCTATCTCCACATACATATTTGTAGATGTTGCATGTATACTAATACAGACAATAGAACACACAAGTGGCACAATCACGGAAACTTCTTATGTACAATTAAACTCCTCCTGGGACAAAGATACTAGGCTTGAAGTCTAAGGACCATAGACTCGGGGCACATCTATGTCAACTGGCATAACATGGTGCCTAAAAATAATGTTCTACATCTTACTTTGGTGAGTAGCATCTGAGGTCTTAAAAGCTTGTGAGTAGCCATCTAAGACACAACTAGTGGTCTCTTCCCATCTGGAGTAAAAGAAAGTGAAGAAAACCAAAGACTTAAGGGAGCAATTAGTCCAAATGACTAACGGACTATACGCACCATAGCTTCCATGAACCCAAGACCAGAAGAACTAGATGGTGCTCGACTACCACTACCAATCATAACAGAGGGTCCCGGACAGAGCGGGAGAAAAATGTAGAACAAAAAAATCAAGTTCATAAAAAAAGACCAGACTTACTGACCTGATAGAGACTGAAGGAACCCCCAAAACTGTGGCCCTAAGACACACCCCTCTGACTTGGAACTGCAGTCATTCTTGGAAACCACCTTCCAGCCAAGCAATAGGCAGGTCTATAAAATAAACAATAACACCCAAAAAGAACGTGCTCCATAGAACATTTATATGAGACCAAAGGGAAACAACTGCCCCAAAGCAAAAATGAGAAGGCAGGAAGGGGTAGGAAAACCAGACGGAAGAAAACAGGGAGCCTGGGCAGAAATGGGGAGAATGCTGACACCATGTGGGGATTGCAACCAATGTCACAGAACACGTTGCGCACAATTTGTTGAATGGGGAACTAATCTGCTCTGTAAACTTCCACCTAAAGCACAATAAAATATTTAAAAAAAAAGGGAAAATACTCCAAAAGATATCTACATATTATTTTAGAAAGCATTTAACTGAAGAGTTAAAGGTGCGAAGCAGATAATTATAGGTCTAGAAGTAGATGAGTGATAAAGATGTAGAATCAGGAAGATCCTTAGTCTTTTCAGCAGACTGGATGACAAGAGAAGGAACAGACAGCTACAGTAAGAAGGTCAAGATAAGGCTGGCACTAGAGTTAACTGAGGTTGGGTGTTATGAATTTATACTGACACCGATATGCAAGATTAATGCTCATTTTCCCTGGTGTAGAAGTACAGAAAGTACATTGTAGCACTGATACAAGAAGAAGTTGTCTCCTAGGCAAGGAGGACTCTAGAGAGCTTAGAAAAAAGGAATGAAGGATGGAAAGGTTAATACTTGTAGGAGTTAAAATTGAAGAAGCATAGACCATTCAAGGTTTGAATGAGAGAATAAAATTTAATGGGGCTTAAACAGTGATCACTGTCTAGAGTTTATAGGAATGGACAGCACAAACTGTTTAATAGCTCAAATACTTGGCTATAAACTGTGTAGCTAAGGGCCCCAGCTCTATTTGGTCTGTTGTTGTTGTTGGGTGCCGTCAAGTTGGTTCCGACTCATAGCAACTCTATGCACCACAGAACGAAACACTGCCCGGTCCTGAGCCATGCTCACAATCGCTGTTATGCTTGAGGCCATTGTTGCAGCCACTGTGTCAATCCATCTCGTTAAGGGTCTTCCTCGTTTTCGCTGACCCTCTACTTTACCAAGCATGATGTCCTTCTCCAGGGACCGATCCGGATAACCTATTTGGTCTGGTTTCAGTAAATGCTGTCTTATAGGAAGAGAGAATTGGCACGATGTTGCTAGAATCTCTTCAATGGCCATCCTACCTAGTCATAAAACCTTCTAATCACCTTCATCTTTGAGAAGCAAGATAGCACACTGGTTAAGGACACAGACTGTAGAACCAAACTGAATGGGTTTGAACCATATGTAAGTTACTTAACTTCCAATCCTCAATTTTTAAATGGACATAGTAACAGAACCTACCATGTAGGGTTTTTGTGAGGATTAAACAAGATAATACGTGTAAAGTACTTACCATAGTGTCAGTAGGTAACTGCCCAATAAATATTAGACAGTTTTGATTTTCTGCAGTATCTATATAGTGTTTGCAGAATAAAATCTGCTTTTCATATAGGGTTGCTATGAGTCGGAATCGACTTGACAGCAACGGGTTTGCTTTCTTTTGGTGTTTCATTTGCCATAGAAAGTTCATAAATGGCCAACTACTGCATACTTGACTAACCTCATCTGTTACTTCTACTTCTGTACCTTGCATATTTTACGGTCCAAGCAACAAGTTTTTTGGTTTATTATTTACCTGACTCTTTTCATTGTTTTTCTCTAGTTAGAAAGATTTATAGATTTTCCACAAAATAATAGAGAATTGTCTCTTCTCTTACCTATTAAAGGAAAGATTGATCATTTGTAGTCTTATCAATGATTCCATTTGTTCAGGCAAAGAGTTTAAAAAATTGTTTCTAAATTGGGGAAAAAATAGAGGATTTAGAAAGTTTGAAAATTTTTGTAATTTTAATTCATTATTAAAATATTACACAGATATGTGTACTACTGTTTCATGAGAAACTATTTGTTCTGTAAGCCTTCACCTGAAGTACAATAAATATATATAAATATATATTACACAGAAAAAACAAATTATTTAGATTGGTTTGTCAATCCTTGATCTGAACTCATTAAGGCTGAGTCCTGAGAATTCTGAATAAGTCAGCTGCCTCAGGAATTTGATTAGCGTGCCAAGTCCTTTACAACACCAATATGCAACCAACTGGTAATGCAACCAACTCTTTAATAGTATATTTAACAAGGTAAAGACTGTAAACAAATCTCATATCTCCTTCAAATTGGCTCAGCAATACTCCTAAGACAGGGCCCTTTAAATTATGTCTATAATACCAGATTAAATATTCAATTGGTGTTAGTGTGTATGTCTCACATACAAACATGAAATTCTACTCCAAGAAGAAGTTTTAAATTACAGGGAAAAAAATGAAACAGGCAGTACAACTACCTAATAATAGAATATATTTGTGAGAAAATTTGCCAACTGGATGGCTACTTATAAATGAAAACTTTTTAACAACTGAATAATTTAACCTATTGCTTTGGGTTCAGAGATCAAGTCTAACATGCAAGAGTCATATTTTCTACAGTGCAATGTATGTTTTTTTACTTTTCTCTGCTTTGTTTTCGTTATTATCCTTAAGTTGTGTTGAATCACCTACTGCTGGTTTCTATCCTTTTCCTTGACAGTTTTAAACCTACTAATAACAGACATGTAAGCAGATTTTGATCACTAAATTAGAAACTCCCAGGTATAGTTATGGACAGAGGCCTGCATATTCAGAGAGAGAGGAGACTGGGACAACAGGAAATAAAACAGCAGAAATGGAGACATGGATTCATCTTCTCTGCTCCATTAATACTGAACTAAAATGTGGTTTTACACTGCTTTGTCAGTATAGTTGCCACCTGAAAACAAGCAATTTTGTATTAGCAGGAGCAGGGTATTAGTAGACTTGCTTTAATTCCATAAGTAAAAAAATTCTGTCTCTACAGGAGAAACAAATCCTTAGCTTATTGTCATTTGACTATTATTTAAACAGAGGCACGAGGAGTTATACTTTAAATAAACTAAAAACACACCTAGTAACAGTATGTAAGTACTACGAAGTCCAGGCATTAGCGATATCGTTTACAGATAAAATTTTAAAGCCCAAGCAAACAAATGACTCTAACCCTGAGACAAATACTATTACCTTTAAGCTGTGAAATGTCTGACCCTGTCACTTCAACTTGGATATATTAAAATTAAACCTCCTATGATGTCTGCAGGGCCTTAAACACAAATTCCTTTCTTTCTCTTGCCCCTCATAGTGTTCTTTTTCTATTCTTCTGAACTTGCATGTTTAATGTAATATTTTGAAACTAGTACATTCTTTAAAGAGAAGCCATGTAAGCTGTTGGTCCAGCAAAGGGTTGTGATAGTTTTATCCTATTCACTTTCAGGAAAGAAACAGCATGAAACAAACATGTTCTTTAAGGATACATCACTTAAACAGCACAAAACATAAGGAATAATATTATTCCCTTATTCTAAAGTAACCATATCAGTTACTGAGCTACAACTATATAACATACTACTGCCATTTGCAGCTTTAACACTCAAAATGTGAACTATCTGTAATTTACCCTAAATGCTTAAGACATGTTTATCTGTAATTTTGCTTAGGCATGAATGTGTTAATATTTTCTAATATTTTATATAATTTTATGTATCCTTATCACATAACCTGTAAACTGCTTATACATGATAGATGTCTGATTAAAATATTTCCTAAATGCTCAATGTTACATATTTCCTGAAATATTATTAATAAAGACTAGTTTCTGTATTTACATAGGAAAATATGAGGGAAAGGGCAAAAGTTAGGCAAACTCAAAGACAAGTTACAATGAAAAAAGTTAAGTGATAGTAAATACCTGAGATCTAAAAAAGTCAATTTTTGAAGCATACATAATTCCAAGGAAATAAAGGAAAGCTTATTAAAACTGAGGTTGACATCGGAAACCATTTCCTTCAGTTCCACAATCCTGAAACAAATATAATTTTAAGATGTTAGCACTTAAACTCACTGTCAGAACTTCAAATCTACAAGCAGACCATAAGGGGAAAAATCCTATATTCCGCTATTTTACATTTTCTGTAACTTTTACTTTTTCCACAAAAATGCCACTAAGGTTCTTTAAACAAAATAGCCTTACTATTATTTGTTCAAAAGTTTCTTTTGATCGTAAATATATATTGAAATTTGATTTAAAAAAAAAAAAAAAAACCAACAACAACACTATATTTAAACCAACTATGGCACAAAGGAAAAAAAAATCTAGCTAATGTTTATAATTAATTCTGCTAATGACTTAAAGCCATAAAATAAATTGTTAGACATATATCCTGTAACATGTCTCTATTTAAGACTATATAATACCATGTATACCTAGGTACTTCTAAAATATTTTTTAGTCATTATGATATGACCAACCTTTTCAAAGTATAGTATTTGCTATCCAAATTATTATTACATTTAAGTATGACTAGATTTGGCAAATGTCACCACTAAGCAGATTATGTTAAAGACTTAAAGAAGAAGTAAATGAGTCCCTGGGTGGTGCAAATGGTTCATACCCTTGGCTACTAAATGAAAGCTTGGAGGTTCGAATCCACCCAAAGGCACCTTGGAAGAAAGTTCTGACAATCTACTTCTGAAAAATCATCCACTGAAAACCCTATGGAGCACAGTTCTATTCTGGCACACGTGGGGTTGCCATGAATTGGAATAAACTTGAGGACCTTTTTTTTTTAAAGCCTGTTATGGTTAAGGCTGTGTGACAACTTGACTGGGCCATGATTCTCAGTGGTATGGCAGTCGTATGATGTTGTGACCACTTCCATGATGAGATCTGATACAACATGATCACCTCTGCCATGATGGGATCTGCTGTGAGTAGCCAATCAGTTGAAAGGGCGTTTCCCTCAGCACGTAGCCTGTGTCCAATATAAGTGAACATTCTGGCAAAGCTTGTGGGCTTTTGCTCATTGTGGATCCTGCAGCTGGCTCCTGTTTGTCTGACCTCTGGTTTTTGGGACTTGAGCTAGCAACTTACTTACGGTCTTGCCTGCTGATCTTGGGATTCACTGATCTTTGCAGCCTGTGAGCAAGAGCCCTGCTCTCTGACCTGCTGATACTTGGTTCGCCAGGCCCTGCGGCTACATGAAATCAGGAGACGCCTCTATCCTGACCCAAGGATTTTCCAGCCTCTACAACCGTGTGAGCCATTTCCTTGATATAAACTTCTCTCTATATGTATTTATAAAATTCACTGGTTTTGCTTCTCTAGAGAACCCACCCTAAGACAATGCCTAATCAAGCTTAGTAGCATTAAGAATGTTATTAACTATGAGAACAAGAAATGCTAATATCTGAGTTGCTAAGAAATGAAAATCAAATTATAACAATAAATCTTTTTTAGTCTATTGCATTAGCAAAGAAAAAGAGAAAGAATATCAAATACTGTGCTGCAGAAGATGCAATAAAAGACACAGTGAGTTTATATAATCAATAAAACTTTCTTGGAAACCTTTTGGATATGTGTATCAAGAGCCATACCCTTTGACTTAGTAATTCTTCTGGAAATCTAGCCTAAAGAAACAATATAAAATACAGGGAAGATTTTATTGCCATAATCAACTTTATGGTGTATAATTAAATTAGATTTTAAAAGTAGTGCTTAAAAAGGGGGGGAATACTCTAGACAAACAAGTGAAGAAACAAAATTTTATGTGTGGTATAATACCAGTAGGAGATACCTTCAAGTAAAACATGCCACAAAGTTAACAAAATAACTCAATGATGTAATTACAAATGATGATTCCCTTCATAGAGTCCAAATTTTTTAATGAATAAGTACTATTTTATAATCAGAAAATAATATGGTGAAAAGTACAACTTGGGAAATAAAAAGTTAAGAAAGAGGAAAAATTGTTTAGAAACTCTCTGGCAAGGTATTTCTTGAATGTCTTCTTTGGCTTCCTAACTTGCTAGAAATATGGTGTAATAGCTATGGTAACAGAATAACAAATCGTTATAGCATGAGAAGAACCAGACTGCAGGAATGAAAAAGTAAGTAATAAAGTAAATAGCAATGTCTCTTAAGATTTCTATCCTCATTCCCAACTAGCTTCTGGACCTAATTATGTGAGAAAACCTCAAGAAATTTCAGAATAGGTCCAGTCATAAATACTTGTTCCAAGGTATGGTAATTACAAATGTCCAGAGGCATTAAGTCGTTTTCAAAGAGACTAGGTACTTTTTAAGATGATCCTGGATATCTGGTTTGATATGGGATCCCCGAAAGCAAAATTATCTGAGAGCAAATCTAAATAGTTAACCATTCTATCAAATATCCTCTAAGGCCAGAGAACTAGGAGATGGACTAGATCTCCTTTTGCAATGGAATCTCTTAAAGTCATCATCTTTCAAGATCTACATTCCCCAAACTATGCTCTATAAGATGGAAAGCAAACTATAGTTTGACTTTTTAAAATTTTAGACATCTAAATATTTTTGCTAGTACTCAGATGAAATCTGTTTTTTTCCAACACATCACCCTCCTCCTCCTTCCCCTCATCTTTTTTTTTTTCAAGTATTTAAGTGCTTACAAAGGACTAAACTGGTTACTGTGGAGTGGACTCCAACTCATGGTGACTCCACATGTATCAGAGTAGAACTGTGCTCCACAGGGTCTTTGATGGCTGATTTTTTGGAAGTAGATCACCAGGCCTTTCTTCTGAGGCACCTCTGGGTAGACTGGAAGCACTGGCACTAGTTAAATTTTTTATCTGAATTATGTCATTTAATTTAACTGTTATTAATAAGTACTATTAGCATCTCTACTTCACAAGTGAAGAAACTAATAGCAGCTACCTAACTGGTCCAAAACCACACAGCCTGTAGATCTGGGATACAGACACAAGCAATTGACTCTAGTGCCCAAGTTCTTTAACATTATCCTATCCTATCTCACATACTGTTGTTTCAATTGCAAGGCAAAATTTTGCTACAATTACCATCAACAAAGATGTATTAAATAGTACAAGGTATAATGCAAACTACTTCTGGTCACTGCAAGTGAAGAACCCTTTTCTGGGAAGAAACTATTAACAAGGTTCAGTTAAAAAATTTTTTTTTCTGTTTTGCTTTTATTATCAGTTGAAAAATTCAGTGACTTGACAATTTGTTAACATAAAATCAAAAATAAAATTTCTTATTAATCCACAAGGACCTGGTTCTGGACAGTCTTTTAAAATTTTTCCTCTAAAACTTAATTACATGGGGAGAAAATAATATTTTTAATATTCTAATATCTATTTCCCAAGTTAAAAGTATAAAAGAAAAAGAAACATATACTTTCTTTATAACTACATACCACTTAGAACAAATGTTAAAATCATATCAAGAAATACTTAATGACATTTGTCAAATCCCTCTAATATTCATAATGCAAGAAATTCTGCACATATTCAAAATTTAAAAACTATGGAAAATAATTATTATTGCAACTAAGGTACAAATACAATTGAGAATGAGTCACAACTTAATAGAAATGGCATCATCAACAGTTCCTACCTTTTCGGAATTTCACATAGCTGATTCTTACTGAAGTTGATGGATGTGATAATGTTGCTTTTTACTGCATCAAACACTTCATCAGGAATCCGAGTTGTTTGTTTATCACTAAATGAAAAGTGGTTTAAAATGCATCATTTTCAGCAGTTCAGAAAGAGAGGATTATTAGTTTGTAAAGGCCTTTAAAGATTTTCTAAGGAAACTTTTCAAAGCAGTTGAATTATTATTAAGTTTGATAGAATGCCATACAAACCTGCCAAACCACAACATGTTCACCGTTAAGAATTCAGACAACATACTGTGCCATAACACATTGTGCCACAACTTCCTGGCATTCAAAGATGTCTAGAAGTAATACAGTAAATGGACACCCCATCCCTCTATCTCTGAGTAGGACAAATCTATACTTTTAGAAGCTGAATGTTGCCCTTTTTTGGTAAAAACCTTTTAAAGAGGTTATTAGTCAATTTTGGGGGGTATAGAGTTTACTGCAAGATGACAATTTTGATGGTTCAACATTACACCAAACTAAACCAATTTTCTCTTATAACCTAAGCCAATTTCTCCCTTATTTAATACGTAACAAGGTAGACGGAGTAATGGACTGAGATTAAACTATTCCTGGTTCTGCAATTAAAGAGCTTTGTAATATATCTTCTTTGAACCTTATTTCTGTGAAATTAGAATCTAAATTTATACCACATTTTTTGCAAATGTAAATATAAATAAATCTCTTTCCGTTAAAATTTTCAGTAATATTTTCAATAAAATATAAATTTAATCTTACACAAAAGTATAACCGAACTCTGACATTTGCAGATAAAACATTTTTTTTTTCACACACTGTACCTTTATTTCTTTCTACCTAAATGAGTCAGCAACTGGTTGACTGTAAAATCCTGGCTTGGTTTATTCAAAAGAATGACTAAACTCAGTACGTAAATTACACTTTAGAGTAGGTATGGGCGGGTTTGAACGCACACTTGCCACAACCCCCACAAACATGCCAAATGGACACTGGCTGAAGGGTAAGTTTTATTTTTATGTACAGAAAAATCAGCTGTGTACATTTAGCCCAGTTTGGTGATGAGTTCTTTGGGCTTTGCCTTTTCCAGCTTGGCAATGCGAGACACAGACTTGGGACCCAGGACGTTGTCTCCCCAGTGACATCGGATCTCATCGTATCTGTCATTGTAGTTGGTCCGGATTGCTTCCACCAGCTTAGACAGAGCTCCTTTGTCTTCCGAGTTCATCTATGTGAAGGCTACAGTGGTACAGGTCTTCCTGCGGATGAGCCATCCCAGTCTGGCCTTACCCTTGATAATGCAGTAGGAAACCCCCATCTTACAACACAAGGCTGGCAGGAAGACAACCAGATTGATGGGGCCCATGTCGTGCGCAATCACCACCAGCTGGGCCTTCTTGTTCTCCACCAAGATGGTGACAGTATTGACCCTGGCTTGAAGGACAGGGGGGGTCTCTTGGTGGGGACATTTCCTTTGACAGCAGCCTTCTTCTCAGCCCGGGCCAACAGCCTCTGCTTCTTCTCCTGCTTTGTTTCTGGTCTGTACTTGTGGGCCAGCTTCAGCAGCTGAGTAGCTGTCTGGCAGTCCAAGGCCTGGGTGAACTGGTTAATGGTGGGGGGCACTTTCAGCTGCTTGTGGAGGATAGCCTGCAGCCACTGCAGCTGGATGTAGTGGGGCCATTTGACAAAGTGGGTGAGGTCCCTTTTGGTTGGATGTCCTGTCCGATGCCAAAATTCTTAGACCTTTTCTCAAACAGAAGATTTACCACCTTCTTGGCCTCCTGCTTCTTGATGACAGCAGGGGCCACGGCCACCTTCTTCCCCTTAGCTGTCTTTCCCTTTGGCATCTTGGGCAGATGGATGAGAGAGCATAACACTTTCTTGATGTTACAATAATCCTTACATTCTTTTTTATTTTTTTCCTACAGTTTTTAATGCTCAACAGTGTCACCCACTATGGGAAACATCAATGAAATGGCAAATCAATGACTATACAATTAAGAAAATAATATTACATATAATATATAACATGAGAAAATTGCATAAGACAGGCAAAATAGTACAGATAGGCAAAAGGATTGTTTGCAGGATTTCAGTTATTATGCCTTCAAATTCTGCTTTAGGGCTCCATTTCCTGCAGTTCAGATGTAGCATTTTTATCTTTTCAATCAGAAATGATCAAGTCATGGGAAAACGATTTATGCTAATCAAACATGGAACATTCACGTTAATTTTAAAATTTAGTTGAAGGCATTTATGCTTTGAGACTGGGAATTAATCTGTATTTTAAATAGGATATGCCTTTTCAATTAAAGTCTCTGAGAAAAAACAAATTACAATAAATTTAGAATCAGAACAACCTAACATGTATGGTTTGAGAGCTATCTTTATTATCCTTTTGTGATACCTATGTCTAAAAGGAGTAGGTAACTACAGAGTAGACAAGATTTATCTTAGGTGAAGGGAAGGACAGCACACACTATAGGGGAAGTCAGCACAACTGGACTAAACCAAAGCTAAGAAGTTTCCTGAATACAACCAAACACTTTTTAGGAACAAAGTAGCAGGGGCGGAGGTCTGGGGACCATGCTTTCAGGGGACATCTAGGTCAACTGGCATAACAAAGTTTATTAAGAAAATGTTCTGCATCCAACTTTGGTGAGTGGCGTCTGGGGTCTTAAAAGCTAGCGAGCGGCCATCTGAGATGCATCAATCGGTCCCAACTCACCTGGAGTAAAGGAGAATGAAGAACACCAAAGTCACAAGGAAAATATCAGCCCAAGAGACAAAAGTGCCACATAAACCAGAAAGACTGCATCAGCCTGAGAACAGAAGAACTGGATGGTGCCTGGCTACCACCAATGACCACCCTGATAGGGAACAGTGAGTCCCTGATGGAGCACGAGAAAGTTGGGGTGCAGAACTCAAATTCTAGTAAGAAGACCAGAATTAATGGTCTGACTGAGACTGGAGGAACCCCAGAAAGCATGGTCCCCGGACTCTCTGTCAATCCAGAACTAAAACAATTCCCGAGGCCAACTCTTCAGACAAAGACTGGACTGGACTGTGGGGCATAAAATGATACTCATGACGAGTATGCCTCTTAGCTCAAGTAGATACATGAGACTAAATGGGCAGCTTCTGTCCAGAAGTGAGATGAGAAGGCAGAGAGGGTGAGGAGCTGGTTGAATGAACATGGGAAATCAGAGGTGGAAAGGAGGAGTGTGCTGTCACAGCATAGGGAGAGCAATTAGGGTCACATAACAATGTATGTATAAATTTTTATGTGAGAGACTGACTTGAATTGTAAACTTTCACTTAAACTACAACAATAAAAACAAAAAAAAATTAAAATAAATAAAAGGAATAGGAATGGTTATCTCAAATAAAACTGGATTAATAAACTACTTCATAGACCACTTAGATGATTAAAAACAACAGCACATGTAAATCATCTAGTATAGTACCCACAACAAAACAGAGTAAATAAATGGTATCCATTCAGGGTAGAAGGAATGGGTAGCCAAGGACACAAATAATTCTAAACTCCACGAGGGCAAGAATCAAGTTGGTCTCAACAGTGTACTTATGATGCCTAGCATAGAATTTGATACTTAGCAGGCTCCAAAAACATCTACTGAATAAGCAGATATATTATGTGGAAGATATGCCAAGCTGCCATACTGTACTGCAGGGAAGAGAATAAAAATATTAATACAGAGGGGTACTACTTTGTGTTACAGTGTGGCAAAAGTAAGCTAGCTTAGTGATGTCTACATAGATGAGAGGGTAGCAGGCAAGAGGTGAAAACTATGTGAACAAAACACACCAGATCTGAGATTGAGACTGTATTCAGACCGCTGAGAAGGTGGCTCCTACTGGCACACCAAGGATAAGAGGCCAGACACTAATGCTGGCCATGTAGATTCTTAAATAAATCTAGTCACTTACCTTAAGTTTGCATTCTTTTGTATTTTTGCTACAATACTCAGAAATGAGCAAATCACTACAAGAGCCTTGACAGTATCTGTTCCTTTTATTATTGTTGCCTAAGAGAGCACTGAAAGAACACTTGAACGCCACCTCCAATCTCTGCAAAGGCATCTTCTTTCCCCAATCCAATACACTTCCATGATATATAAAAGCTTTAGGTTTTTGTCTTAATTTATATACTAATACCGTGGTTGTTTCAGTTCTAATATATGTGCTACTGGAACACACTATTATTATATTATTTGACTTTGTATTTAGATAAATTGGCAGGTTATAACCTCTCACGCTTTGCCTGCTATTCAAAATTTTCATTAACTAAATAATACTGATTTATTATTTACTAACATAGTGCAAATAATCCGAGAAGCTGGACTATATGAAGAAGAACAGGGCATCAGGACTAGAGGAAGACTCATTAACAACCTGCGTTATGCAGATGACACAACCTTGCTTGGTGAAAGTGAACAGGACTTGAAGCATTTACCAATAAAGATCAAAGACCACAGCCTTCAGTATGGATTACACCTTAACATAAAGAAAACAAAAATCCTCACTACTGGACCAATAAGCAACATCATGATAAACGGGGAAAAGATTGACGTTGTCAAGGATTTCACTCTACTTGGATCCACAATCAATACCGACGGAAGCAGCAGTCAAGAAACCAAAAGACGCACTGCATTGGGAAAATCTGCTGCAAAAGACCTCTTTAAAGTGCTGAAAAGCAAAGATGTCACCTTGAAGACTAAGGTGCGCCTGACCAAAGCCAGGGTGTTTTCAATCGCCTCATATGCATGTGAAAGCTGGATGATGAATAAAGAAGACTGAAGAAGAATTGATGCCTTTGAATTCTGGTGTTGGAGAAGAATATTAAATATACCAGGGACTGTCAAAAGAACAAACAAATCTGTCTTGGAAGAAGTACAACCAGAATAGAATTCTCCTTAGAAGCAAGGATGGCGAGACTATGTCTCACACACTTTGGACATGTTGTCAGGAGAGATCAGTCCCTGGAGAAGGACATTATGCTTGGAAAAATAGAGGGTCAGAGAAAAAGAGGAAGACCCTCAATGAGATGAATTGACACAGTGGCTGCAACAATGGGCTGAAGCATAACAACGATTGTGAGGATGGCGCAGGACCAGATAGTGTTTCGCTGTGTTGTATATAGGGTTGCTATGGGTTGGAACCAACTCGATGACACCTAACAACAAAATCAACAACATAGAACCCCAATATAAAATTCTCTCTGGATGCTGATTACTAATTCAAAGAATCTTCTTATCAATAAGATTTTATTTTATTTTTTAATAATAAATGCCCTTCATTATAAAAAACAATAGTATTAATAACCATCTGTCTGTCTGGTAAGCATAATTAACACAAATCAGCTAAAGAATGGGTAGTTAAGCTACTGTACTTTTAGTAAGCTTTTATCTCATCATTGCTTTTGCAACTGCTATTTATTTTAAATCAAGTACTACTGCAATCTGATGAATTCTTCCTCACCAACTGTCCTTTTTCTGGAAGATTATTTCTAGAAAGTCTCCCACATTCTGTGCAATGTTTTTTAAAAACTGAACAGCATACCTATAGTCTAATATTTTCAGTGTGGTTATGGCATGTACATTGATTCTTGATTCACTTGGTAGTGTCATGGCAGTCTCAGTAACAGAGTCGCTTTGGGTAGGTCCATCATCTGGCAAGAGAAAAAGTTATATGAAGTCAATATTTATACTATAAAATAATTTTTTGAGTTCTCGATAATACATACAAATAGTACACGTGATTTCTAGATATTACCAGTGAGAATACCTTTAGTCATATGCATTATTTTCAATAAATCTGGGTCTGAAACGTAATGCTTAATTAATAAAAAATAAATAATGTTACTACATTATGGCTTCAAATCTTTTTAATAAATCCTGCTGTAAGGAAATTTAGGAGTAGGAAAGAACCTTCAAATAATAACTATAATTTCTTAGAAGAAAACATGATAACCAATCATTTCTTTTAAACAAAATAATAGGGTCCATTAGAAGGAATCTGTTAGAAAAGGAACAATATATTATTTTCCACAGATGCCTACCACATAGGCATATGCCTATCTTTTCAGTTTAGGATACAATGAAGCTGATTATTCCCAATCACTTTAAAAATCTGGCAATTTGCATCATCAAGTGAACTTCTGGTGTATTATGTATGTTAAAAATTTTTCTTATCAAATGGAAAAATTTATTTTCAATAGACATTTTCCTAACATGTCTGTATACTCATACATTTACACACCACATTCACAGAGACAATCAACTCCCTCACTGATCTTCAGAGACTGTTTAATACTGCCATCATATGGCGTAAAAAAGAAAACAAACAAAATACACATTTAAGGAAGCAGCTTTGTGATTTTTTACAAAAAAAGACTTCAACATTCTAGGGAAGTAGAATAATACTATTAATTTTCAGCAATGTGGAAAAGATGAAACAGTCCCAGAATTCATAGATAAGAACAGAAGGCATGCCAAAAGACCACAAAGAGGTAGTCATATCCTTCATCTTGCTTAGGCCCAACAAGTATCCAGTAAACATTTGTTGACTATTACTGAGCCTATTTCTCTTACATCCAGCTCATCAGATCAATAACAATTAAACTATTTTCCCAATGCAAATATTATATGAATATTTTAATCACAGAAGTGGGACAGAATAAATGACAGAATATCAAATAAAAATAAAAGACATAAAGGGAAAAATTACAATCAAGTGAAAGCTTCAATATTTAGAAGTTCCCTAGTAGTTTGATTATTTTAAAGAATCATATAAGCAGAGACAATATTAAACTAGCAACAAAACCCAGCATTATTTTTTAAGTATACACGATGATCAGAATATTGCCATGATTACATTTTGAGATGGAATTTTTCTCAACACTTTCCAAAGAGATACTTGTAATAATCAGCATCAAGGAGAATGTAAAGAGGGAAGCTGTTACCTCTGGAAAAGGAATTGGTGTGAAAGAAGATTTACTTTTCCTTACATATCCTCTTACATTGGTCCATTTTTTTTTAACCATTTGCATTTATTACCTTTTTAATTTAAAAACTTAAATAATAATACAAAATCAAATTAAAAGGGCCCACTGAGCACCAAACACAAGTGGAACCACACCAAGGTACATTATCATGAAATTTCAGAATAGTAACAAAGAAAGATTCTACAAGTTTCCAGACAGAAACAAACACTTTCCACATGTTGCATGTGCAAGTGACTGACAGGAATATAGCCAAATAGGAGGTCAATCACATAAAGCAGAAGAGATAAACCTTAAAAAACAATTGTACTATTTAAGAAATCTCAAATATATTCATTTGGTGGGTTAGGAGGGCACGATGAATGACTTAGTTGAATGAGTATCACTCAGTCAGGAAGTGTCAGAGCTGCAATTTATCAATTTGAAGCAAACAGACCTATTATCTACATTGCCAGTAATTTTAGGTATTAGTAGAAAAGAGAACAGGGCGAGAAACTTGGATGAGCCCCACTGTCACTCAGCAATAAAAGCAAAAGGCCAAAGTCCGTTTGCTTGTTTGTTTCTTTATCCTACAGCATTTATCTAACACATATTAACTGGTAGGCACTAGTATGGGAAGAGCTGGAGACATAAGACGAACTCAGTGGACAAATATCACAAAACAGTATGGTAAGTGTGATGACAGAGGTATGTTAAATGTATTTATTAAGAGTGGTAGGTGTTGAGGCTGGGTGGGAGGATGATACAATTTAGAAGTGTCAGGTAAAGCTTCTAAGAGAGTAACTACCTCAGAAGGGGGTCCAAAACTAGGGTTCTTGTCAATAATAGAAAGAATTTATAATGTTTTGCCACTTTTTAAAATGTCTCCATTTCATTTTTTAACATTTTTATGTTTTCTTATCCACTGTTACTCTTAAAGCCCATGGTGGCACCAACAGTCTGCACTCAATTACTAACTGAAAGGTTGGTGGTTCAAACCCAACCAGGGGCTCCAGAGAAGAAAGGACTGGTGATCTGCCTCCATAAAGATTACAGTGAAGAAAACAGACTAGCTCAGTTCTATTCTGTAACACATGGGGTAGCCATGAGTAGGAATCGACTCCATGGCAATGGGTATTACTCTTAGAATGAAAAGAACTAACTTTATGGAGAAAGAAAGCTGGAGGCTGCTGGGGGAGGGGGCTTGCTTTACGGAAACTACTTAATTTATCAGCCAGGCTTATAGGGACTACAACCTTTAAAGACAGAACGGGTGGCTACAAAAGGAGAGAAAAGTTGGTCAAGTCCTTACAGAACATGTAGAACTAGTTTGGTATCTGAGAGGGCACCTGAGAGGGGCTTAGGAGTAAAATGGCCCAAAGTGTGGTCCCCAGAAGAGCAGCATCAGCCTTCCTGGTTAGAAATGTACATTTTTGACTCAATCCCGAACCTACTGAATCAAATACTATAAATGGAGCCCAGCAACCTGAGATTTACCAAGCCCTCCAGGTGATTACAATGCACACTGAAGTGTGAGACTCAGCATTTCTCTAGTGAAGACCTGTACTTTTATCACACAAAAGATGATGAACATAAATTGATAACACATAACCAGCACTTTCCTGGATCTAAATCTAATTACATACAACAAATTTATTCATTTACTTCACAAACTGTCACTGTGCTTCAATTCTGTAGTAGTCAATAAACTCCACGTCGGGAATGAGACCTTGTAGTAGACTCTAGCCAGTACTGCTATTCATTACTATGATTGCAAGACAACTCCAAACGATACCAAATCAGTATTATATAATTTATGGGCAGTGTATTAGTTTTCTGTGGCTGCTATAACAAATTACCACAGATTTATGGCTTAACACAGCAGAAATTTATTATTGTTACAGTTCTGTAGTTCAGAAGTCTTAAATAGGTCTCACTGAATAAAATCAAAGTGTTGGCAGGGCTGCACCCCTTTCTTTAGGGAAGAATCAATTTTCTTGCCCTTTCTTGCTTCTACAGGCCACTCACATTCCCTGGCTGTCAGCCCTCTTCCCCCATATTCAAAACCAGGAATAGTGGGCCGAGTTCTTCTCACATTGATTGCATCATGCTTACCTCTTCTTCTCTCTTCTATTTTTAAGGGTACTTGTAATTATACTGGGCCCATCCAGATAAATCCAGGCTTTGTTGTTATGACTTGCCACTGAGTTGATTCAATTCTGACTCATGGCAATCCCATGTGTGCAGAGTAGAACTGCTCCACTGGGTTTTCAAAGCTATGACCTTTTAGAAGCAGATCGCCAAGCCTGTCTTCCAAGGTACTTCTGGGTGGGTTTGAACTGCCAGCCTTTCGGCTAGTAGTCCAGCACTTAACCATTTGCGCCACCCAGGAATTCCTAAATCCAGGTTAACATCCTTATTTTAAGGTCAGTTGACTGGCAATCTTAATTCCATTGCAACCTTAATTTTAATATATTCACAAGTTGCAAAGATTGGGTTGAAGGGGTCATTATTCTGTCCACCACAGGTAACAAAGCAAGATGGCCTTGGTAGTACAATAAGAAACTGAACTCAGAGCCCAGATATTAGAATCAGGTGATGTAGCTAGGGCAAAGGCAGTTTTTGCAATCAAATTAAGTAAACAAGCTTAAGTTTTATGATGACATAATTGGAGTAAGCATCCATTTCAAAACTCTAGTGACTTTGCAGGACCTCACCCTGGGAAGGCATAATATCACCACCACTGAAACACATTTCCCATCAGTAAACCTAGGAGACTATGGAAGCTGCACTCACTTACCATTCTCCAGCTTAAGGTCCTCTGATATCCTTACTTAAAATACATCCTTTGAGCTTTTTACTAACTGTAACTAGCATAAGGCTTGCATGTCAGAGTGCTAATTTTTGCAAGCCTCAAGCCTAGTCCCCAAGAAGGTATTTTATAAACAATGAAAACAAAATTTTAAATTATAGCTCACTGATATTTATTTAGGATACTGATTTCTACCTGCAGAACAACGAACATTTTTTAAAGTAAATAGATGTTGGGGTTATTCGAAAGTCTGTAATAACAGGACTCATCTATCAATAAAAATGTGAAATAGTATCTAGATATGTGAAGGACATTGTAGGGTACTTTCACAAATGCCACTTCAAGAAATTCTGATCCTTAAAAATAAACCTCCCAAGACAGTTTTATCTTCATTTTACAAATAGAGAAATGTCGGCTCAACATAACAAATACATCATCTAAAAAAAAAAAAAAAAAAAACTAATCGCCTGTGGAGAATCATTTAAATACTCTGAATTTACAAACGATTGATTTTTTAAAAGAATAATTTTAGTTTAATAATTATATTTGTAAGGCAAATGGGATTTGTAAATTTACTTAATTCTTCCTACCAAAGGATAAATTAATAGTACCTTACAGAAAGTTTATCTAAATTCCAGATGAGTTAATGGGCTTCTGCATAAACTCTAGGAAGAAAATAAATCAATTCACTTGTGAGGAGTAAGTCCTTCAGACAAGCCAGACAACCATAGTTTTCTCTATTCCTTTCCTTGCTGGGCCTCAGAACAAACCACCGCTTCCACTGAGGACTGCTGCTTGTTAGCAGGGTTAGAAAGAAACAGTTCTGGGCTAAACCATACCCTACTCCTCAGGAAGTCAGGGGGGCATGATGCAGTAGGATGCTTGTTAGCGGGGTTAAAAAAATACAATTAGTCACTTAGGCTGGGGACATAAAATAGCTGGGAGAGGAGGTTTTCTGAGTTTCCTCAACTATGGTGCAGGTGGGGCCCATACAGCTTAAGCTAACAGTCCACCTAAGTGTATTTACCTGGCCAGCGGGAGACCGGCAGTAGGTAGGTTCCCATTTAAGCCTCTCACCCATGGTACAAAGTGGGGTATGCAAGGAAGAGTTATCATTTCTGCCCAGACAGCTTTTGAGGGGGGAATGCTCGTGATGGAACTTTTCTGGTTGTATGCTCTCAGATTCTTATAAGTAATAAAAGCTATTTTCATCTGCTAACGTGTTCAGGCTCTGACAGGAAGGATGTGACGTTTATGGAGCAATCCATATTAGTTATTGGTGCCCTTTTTCTAATGGCCTCCTGGGTATCTAGAATTTGGGTACAACCTGTGAGCACCACTCAGACTGGAGTGTTGTCTTACAGTTATGGCATGGTTGAGCAGGATGTGTTGTCCTACACCACTCCAAAATTAATACACTTTTAATGATAAGGTTTTTCTTTTACGCAAAAGAGCATCCTTCTATATTTGAAGTATCACAGACAAGAAGCATCACAAAACAGCTGCCTTTTAATGAATTTCAAATATTCTAAGATTATTTTAAAATTGTAAGTAACTTCATGCTTCTGGATTGTTCGGTATCCTCAAAACAATCAGTTTCTATTGTCAAGTCCCCTCATTTCAGCACAAAATTTTCAACTTAATCTACTAATATCTCTTGAATAAAATAATCAGCATCGTTTCAGTTTTCACTGATTCACTTTCTACCTATAAATTGAGAAGACAGTAGTTAGTAAGAACAAGGAGAGCAAAGTTGAAGAGGAAAAAAAAGGCAGCAATGAAGTGGTCCAACTTTGTCTTCAGAGCTCTAGGAGATATAGGGGCAATTAAATCCAATTCTACTCTGTTGCTGAAAAGGCTTGAACCCTGTCTTAGGCTGGGTTCTCTAGAGAAGCAAAACTAGTGAAGCATACGTATATGTATATAGAGAGAGGGAGACAGACTGATTTATCTCAAGGAAATGGCTCACGTGGTTGTAGAGGCTGGCAAGTCTCAAGTCCGTGAATCAGGCATCAGACCGGAGGCTGCTTCTGACTCACGTAGCTGCAGGGGCTGATGAATCTAAGATTGGCAGGTAAGATGGCAGACTGCTGGCTCACAGGCTGTGGAAGCCAACGAATCCCAAAATCGGCAGGCAATATGGCAAGCTGCTAGTCTATGTCCCCAGTCAGATGATGATGAGCCAGATGCAGGATCCAGAGCAAACAAAAACAAGCAAGCTTTGCCAGAACTTCCATATATACTGGATGCAGGCCACATCCCCAAGGAAACTCCCCTGACAACTGACTGGCTGATAATATTAGATCACATCATAGAGGTGATTATATCGCAAAATAGAGGATAACTACATCATTACATACCTGCAAAATTATATCATTATATAACTGCCAAGCCACATCATTATATAACTACCAAACTATATCGCTACATAACTGCCAAACCACCAAGAATCATGGCCCAACCAAGTTGACACACAACCTTAACTATCATAGACCCCAACCCCAAGAAATTCTGATTTAATCAGCCTAAAGTCTAGCCTGGACACTGTATTTTTTAAAAGCTCAACAGGTGACTCTTATGGGCCTCTAAGGATGTACACATGATGCCCTTTCATTGACCATCTTTTCACTGAGAAAATGCTTTATTGCTTATAGAAAATTATGCCTTGGTAAGGAAAAATTCTTGGGCCCTTTAATAAAATTTCCATTACCATTGTTTTAGCAGAGTTTCTGGAAAGAATGAAATTAGATGCATGAATTCAGCCTGCCACCTTTGCACAGAGGTTGTGTAGCAGAAATGTTTGTACATAAACGTAAGTTACATGAAGTTCATCCTGGTTTTGGGGGTCGATAAGAATTTGATTATTCTAATTCGTGTCAGAATAATCAAAATTTTCTGGAGAAGAAAGAAAACTCTTGCACTGACAGGGAATAAGAGTCTTACAAAATCATTTTGACAATATATTTGAAGGGCAAGATGAAAAATGAAAACTTCTGAACTTGCAATTTTCTTATTCATGTAACACTGACAGACGCAATACAGTGCTAGGCTAGGTGGTAGGTATATAACAATGGTATCATCAAGAACCTGACAAGTCTATGAAGAGGGAAATGAGTTTAAATAATAATAATTACAATATTGCACAAAAACTGTAATAGAAACTTTCAAAGAAAAGTGGATACAGGGGAAAAAATAACAAACTGTGCTAAAGAAACAGAAAGAGGTTAGGGAAAATACCTACAGCTTGAAAACACTTTTGAAGAATGAGTAGGCAGGGAAGGAGTTATTTCAGGTAGAGGTAAAATTCAGACTATGGCATGTAGTGTACTTTAAGTAGTCAGATATGGCTCTGGCACAGGGAGACGTTAGAAAGGTAAGAACCTGACGCTTTTATGTTATATTGTTTAAACTTATTCTCTTTGTACTGGGTTGACATTAAAGGATTTTAAACAGGGGACCTGATATCATCACATTTTTATTTAAAAAAAAAAAAAAAATTAATCTGAAGGCCAAAGAAGATGAAGGAATATTGGTCAGGAATGAAAAATACCCTTAAAAGAAAAACTGATAGCATGTAATTTACCACCTTAAAATGTCCCCCAAAAATCTTATAATAAAAAAGGAGAATGACACTGTTTCATATTAGTACAATGGTATTTTATAGTATAAAAAAAGGGGTTACACATTCGGAAGACTATTAAAATTAAAATTAAATTTCAAAATTTTCAAAAAATAATAAAAATGTACACTGGTGAAATAATATGTATAACAGGCTTGTTTTAGACTTAATTTCTTCAACTTAAAAGAACTTAGATGTTTTTGAAGCTAGGGTAATATTCATTTACCCTTCATCTAATCAACCAATCAATAAGCATTTACTAAATGCTCAAGATGAGCCAGGCCCTTATATTCTGGCAAGTAAGACCAAACTGCAATAGAGTATATTTAAGTACTGAAATACAGACTTCTAATAACCTGCTTCAAGGCAATAACTTGAAAGATGTACTCAGCTGAATTCTGTAAAATAAAGGCACCTAACAATCTCTAAAACAAAGAATAAAAATAAAAATACTGTTTGTTTTTCTTCCACCCTGCCCTCCTACAGACTCTGCGTTGGTCTTATGACTTACTTTGGCTAAATTAGCAAATGTAATGTGAAAAGCACCTACGCATTGATATTTGCCCTCTTTCATGCTGCTCTTGGGGACTCTATGACCACTATACACGAACAAGCTAGGACCAGCCTACATAATGAGCAACCTGTGTCTCAACACTCAAGCTGATGGCCAGTCAACTGCCAGACATGTGAAGGAAGCCATCAACACCAGCTGACCACTGACGTATAAGTAAACTTCAGCTAAGTCTGGCCCCGACCAGAAGAATAACTGCCCAATGGAATTCAGCCCAAACTGCTGACCATTGGAATTGTGAGCTAAATAAACAGCTGTTGTATTAAGCTGCTAAGTTTTAGAGTAGTTTGTTAGCAGCAATACACTGGTATAACTAATTTTTTGTCTTAATGCTTTATACCATAATAATAGACATGAAATAAGAATTGGGATATATGGGAAGTATTAAACATTAAATTTATAGTATCACTTTCACTTTTGCTGCATGCTCATGCTAAATGAACATATCCTGAAATATGTATTTTTTTTTTGTTAGAACTTAGCAAAGCTATACGTGCACAGTAGATAATCAAATGTCTGTCATTATGTTGCCCAAAAAAAACCAAACCCACTGCCATTGAGTCATTTCTGACTCATGGCAACCCTACAGGACACAGAATTGCCCCATAGGGTTTCCAAGGAGCGGCTGGTAGATCCAAACTGCCAACCTTTTAGTTAGCAGCCAAGCTCTTAACCTGTGTGCCACTGCCACCCAGGGCTCCACCCAGTCAATAGAACCCATAAATATACCATGAAAGTCAAATTTTGCTCCTATTTCAAAATCAAAGCACTAGTGCTTATTGAATCTTTGTTATTATGTACACCTACTCCTCACTTCTTGACTATCTCCTTATCCAACATTTCGCATTTACAACAATAGTAAAAAATCTACTACCTATTTTGCACATTAACGACGTACTTTTGGCAGTAACGAACACAGAGGCATGAGGCTTGAGTAATATTGGCTGTGATAGTTAAGGTTAAATGTCAGCTCAGCTGGGCCATGATTCTCAGTGGTTTGGCAGTTATGCAATGATGTAATTTGGCAGTTATGTAATGGTGCAGTCATCCTCCATTTTGTGATCTGATGTGGTCATCCTCCATTTTTGCATAATATTGGTTTCCACATAATGACCTAGTCTTTGGAAACTAACCATGTCGATACCATGTAGATAAGTGAGAAGTACTATAACACAAATCAAAGAAATTAAATATAGAACATGATCATTGTGAGTTTAATGATGTTTTATAACTTCAGCATACTTACTGCCTGGATGAATTCCGAATTACAGCCACACCTTCCACAGACCATTTCCTCTAAATATTTATACTCAAAGTACCTTTAAATTTACTATTAAAACATCACCAGCCTTCATATTATCCTTCAAAATATCAGGTAAGAAAAAAAAGCACCTCTGATTTTGCTTCGTAGATATTTTAGGACTTCTTGGGTTCCTTTCTGGAAGAGTGGAGAAAAAGATACACATTCACCAAATCAGTATACGTGTCTGAATTTCAAATTAAAAACAAAGAGCTGAATTCTAAACATACTTACATTTAAAATTTCTCTTCGAATGGTTCTCAAAGGATTTCCTTCTAGTGCCAAGAATTTCAGGTGAAGGTTTCCCAATGAATAGGGCAGACTATAAAAGATTAAACTCATTTCAAGGAAAACATTAGATATAATTCAACCAAATAGCTGACCATAAAACTAACAATGTAGGACAAATTATGTATCATGTAACAGTCTCAAAGGAGGCCCAACCAAAGTAGTCCTAAAATATTTCCCTTGTAAATGAATGCTGATCATGTAAAACAAAAATCAGATTTGTTTTGAAAACTGTCATACTGAGATTGCTAAAAGAGAATCTGAGCTATAAGGTATTTGTTAAAGTGTATTCAGTGCTAACAAGTAAATGTTTTAAAATATAAATTTGAATGAATTAGTGATTCATAATGGCCATGCCCCACTGACACTAAATGTTTTAATTTTGTCCTTTGAGGAAACAAAATTCTTTCTAAATGAAAAAAGATGACAAGAATAAAGAACAAAACTACTTTCAATCACCCAATTTATGTTTTCATTTAATCAGGAAAGTCATTTTTTTATCTGATGACACAAAAAGATAACCTGTGTTTATAAATATATTCAATATCAATAAAATTTACTAAGCACCTACAATGTACTAGACATTGGTGTAGGGATATCAAGGTCCTTGCCTTTAAAGAGTTCTAACCAGAACATAATAAATAAGAATTATCATACATTGATGGTGAGAATACAAAATAGTATAGCCATTTTGGAAAGCAGTATCTTTTGAAGTTAAATATACACTTACCATACAACCTAGCAATCCCACTCCTATGTATTTACCCAAGCAAAATGAAAATACTGCCCGTACAAAGACTTATACGCAAGTGTTCAGAGTAGCTTTATTCATAATAGACAAAAAACTGAAAACAACACAAATGTCCACCAACTAGTGAAGAGATCAGTAAATTGTGGTATATCTGTACAATGGCATACTATTCAGAAAGAAAAATGAATATACTAATACACACGACCACATGAATGAATCTAAAAAGCTTTATGCTACATGAAAGAAGCCAGATACAAAATTTATATACTGTATGAGCCCATTTATATGAAATTCTGGAAAAGGCAAAACTACAGTGACAAAGTATATCCATGGTTGCTAGGGGACTGAGGTATGGGGAAGGGACTGACTGCAAAAGGCATGAGGAAACTTTGGGGAGATAGAAATGTTTTATATGCCTGTGGCAATAGTTACATAAATGTATACATTTGTCAAAAGTCATCAAATTGTACCCTTGAAATTGGTGAATTTCATATGTAAATTATACATCAACAAATAAAAACATATAAGATAAAGGGTAAACTAGCAAAGTTGCTATGAGAATAAAGATGTAGAAATGGGGGGTAAGGGAGTAAGAGTAGCAAAGCCTGGATTTGGATCTAAAAAGAGGAATGAGATTCTATTAGACAGTGAAGCAGGGAAAGGACATTCTAGGATTTAGAAACAAAATGAAGACTCAGTATCTTTATGGTTCAGTGTAGTCAAAAACCAGGATGCCTCTGCGAGAGTGAAAGATAATAAAGAGAGAATGATTAAGTCTGATTGTGAGATGCCCTTGAATGTTATGTTAAGAAGTGTGAACTTTATCTGGCAAGACTGTGCTTACCAAACTGTTTGTTGGAACACCAGAGGCATCCAAATCTCCTAGGAATTATTAAAAAGAAAAAGAAAAATTCTAGGATCCTACTGATTTACTGGGATGTCAGAAACTGTATTTTTGGTTTTTCTTTGAAGCTTTTCAAGTGATTATGATTTACAGCCTTATTTGGGATATAGTGCTATAGCAGTGGAAAACCAACAAAGCTTTTTAAGCAGAAGAGTACATGATAATTGTACTTTATAAAAACTACTCTGGTAGCATGTGGAGAATCAATATTTTAGTTACAGAAGATTCTAGAGGGGATGCAAAATGGCTCAAATTATCTACTATCTAGGCAGTAGGGGATTGGGGAAGAGGAAAGAAACTAATACTTACTGTCATGGATTGAACTGTGTCCCCCAAAAATATCTGTCAACTTAGCTAGGTCATGATTCCCAGTATTGTATAATTGTCTACTTTTGTCATCTGATGTGATTTCCCTATGTGTTGTATATTCTATCACTATGATGTAATAAGATGGATTAGTGGCAGTTATATTGATGAGGTCTACAAGATTAGGTAGTGTCATAACCCAATCTCTTTTGAGATATAAAAGAGAGAAGCTAGCAGAGAGACAGGGGGACCTATACCATCAAGAAAGCAGCACCACGAGCAGAGCGCATCCTTTGGGCCTGAGGTTCCTCCACTGAGATGCTCCCAGACCAGGGGAAGACTGATGACAAGGACCTTCCTCCAGAGCCAACAGAGAAAGCCTTCCCCTAGGGCTGATGCCCTGAATTTGGACTTGCAGCCTACTGGACTGTGAGAAAATAAACTTCTCTTTGTTAAAGCCATCCACTTGTGGTATTTCTGTTATAGCAGCACTAGATGACTAAGACACTTACTAAGTGCAATTATGTTCTAGGCCTTGTGAGATATTGTTGTTATTAGGTGACGCTGAGTTGTCCAACGCATAGCGACCTTATGTACAACAGAAGGAAACACTGCCTGGTCCTGCACCATCCTCACAATCGTTGCTATGCTTGAGTCCATCATTGCAGCCACTGTGTCAGTCCATTTCGTTGAGGGTCTTCCTCTCTTTTGCTATCAGTTACTTTATTTAGCTAATTTTGGGTTTTGTTTTTATTTTAAATGTTTGCTTTCTACTGCCTTCATTCAGTAAAGTTAATAAAACTTCCAGGGGGAAAAAGTTTATTTGTAAATATTTATAACATGCAAGAGACTATTTCACTTCTTACTTGTTAGATAAAGCACTTATAAGGATAGCCAGGTCAATTACTAATGTTGCCATATGCAGGAGTTAGTGAAAAGAGTGGTTGCTATCAGAGTATTCAAATCTATGGTCAAGACATAACATATACAATATGTACACTGTGAAAACAATTCTGATTTTAAAAAATATTTATTCATATATACACATAGAAAAAAATCTGCCTTGCCTAACTTCTCCTTCTGTGAATAGCAGCCTATCTTTCCGGCATTCAAGCTCAAAACCTCAGACATCTAACTGGTATATAAACCCAGGTAAGTCTGAGTTTAATTTTTGTAACAGTAAAATAATTCTATCTCTAAATATTAGGGTTATATAATTTTTTATGATTCTTTGATCACTACCCTCCTCCCCGCCACATTTACAACACAGCCAATCAGTTGCTAAATGCTACTTATTCTAAGTCATCATGCCTCTCACATCTGTGCTCTTTTTTCCATTCTCATTGTCACCACAGTACAGGTCCTCATTACATAAGAGATAAATCTACAAAGCTGTCAACATAGCGAAATGGATATAGCAAGTGCTTCTTAGTGATAAATATTATTTTTTTTTTTAGGGTCAACAGTGTATTTTATTGTATATCTTAGATTTATAATTTCATATATGCTTTTAAAGCTTCAATTAACAGTTGACTACAAAATAAAAAATATATATGCAGCAGTGGTTCTCAGGCATTGAATTTAGAAGAAAATTGGAGCAAGTTTTTCCTAGAATTTAGTGAATATTACAAACCATGACAGTGGAATGTCTCCTGACGTAGCTGCCTTTTTGACTGAATTTTATTACAGTGAATAGCTTCGTTGTTGTGTGCTGCTGAGTCAATTTTGACTCATGGCAACCTTATATGACAGAATAGAACTGCCCCATAGGGTTCCTAGGCTGCAGTCTTTATGGGAGCAGAACGCCAGGTCTTTTCTCTTGTAGTGATAAATATTATTAGATCAATTTAATAAAGTTTTATTTAGATTTCCCACCTACAAAACCACTCCGATCCAATGTATGCAACCCACTACCACCAGATTTATTTTTAATGAGATGATCAAGTTGGTTCTGTTCATAATGTTTCAAAAGCTCCCTACTTCTTAACTAACGAAAACTCTCTTCTCAGGCATTTCAATGATCTTTTCCATATGACCTCAACTTACCTTTCAAGCCCTAAATTTTCACAACCTCTCTATTTGCACCCTATTCACCAGCTCAGCTTGACTGCTTGCTCTTCTCTTAACATACCATGAAATTTTCTGAACTCCCAAAGCTTTGTTTGTGCCCTTTCATCCTGCGGAGTGGATCTAGTAGATCATTCTTACCACCTTACCTCTGCATTTGCAAATCCTGATCATCTTTTAAAAATTACCATAATGGAGACTAGGGTGAGAGATAACCCTGAGAGTGATGACTTCTCAATTTTTGTGCTGTAGGCAATTAACCTGACTTATCCTAGTCCCAGCCCTGAAGATCATCTAAAAATATTACTTCTCCCATGAACTTTTTCCTGATTCCTCTCAAGAAGCCCCCAAAGTATTTTATATCTCTTTTATGGCTTTACATTCACTTAATAATTTCAACAAGTATTTATCAGGCACCTTCTATGTGCCAGGCATTGATCTAAGAGATGGAGGTAGAGTAGTGAAAACAGATAAAAATCTAACCTTCCTGGAGTTTATGTTCTAGCAGGTTAAAGTAACTTGTAAATATAATATACCTGATTCTATTAGCATATTAAGCTAGCTACCAAGGACAAAATCTAATTAATCTTTTATATCTGCACATATACACGTACAACATATATTTACAGGATTCAATTAAAAAAAGATCTGTGTACTTCTCAGAACTATTTTAACTTCTGAATTATAATCAAATACAGGCACCATTTTTTATTCATTTGATCTCTAAACTTACCTACTAATATCATTGTTACTTAAGTCAAGTCTTTCCAGAGACTGTAGTAGTGTGATTTCATCAGGAACAGATTTCAACTTGTTATCCCTCAGGTCTAATACAAGGATAGAATTCAGATGTTTAAGATGTTCTGCTCCTAGTATTTCAATCTGGTTTTCACCTACGTGCAATTCCTGAAAACCAAAGATTCAGTTTTATACACTAATAAAAATTGAATTGTTGGTACTCTTAATTTCAAATCATTCAAAACACATGGGGGAAAAAAAAACCAACTTTCTAATTACTATTGTGGTTGAATTTTCAATTACATTTAAGCTATTTTACAGCTAAAGAAAGATGACAAAAAAAATCAGGAATTTCTGGCAATTTAAAAATCATTAAAGGTTTAATCTGATAGAAATTTCAAGCTTACAAATCAAAGCAGAGAAGGGAAATGATTTAGTAGTCATGTACAGAACTGAAAAACCTACAAATCCAAGAATTATACCGATGAAAAATTAAAGTTTTAAAATAAGGCATTATCAGTTTAAAAAAAAAGTTATTTTATACTATGATCAATTTGTTATGCAACATTTTCATTAGTTATTGAAAATTACATATAATGATTTCCCATTAACAGAGTCTATAATTATCAGACTGATAATTAAACTCTGTAAATGATAACTTATTCAGTTCTTTTATTCACTGGCAACATTTTGTTTAAAAGAAACTCTTTTGACACTGATGCATAAAAGTATACATGAAAGAAAACAAAGCATGGCAAAGTTAGAAGACAATATTAACGCTATGTACTCAAAAACAAAAGAAAGCAATTGATTTTACACAGACTGTTTATGATCAGGTAAACGTGAAAGGTGGCCACTTACAGAATTAGATACATAGTCCTTACTGGTATTCCAAGTCCCCTACAGTATGGCTCCAACTTACCATTTTAGTTTTATAATCTACAACTTCTCCACTTATAAACTACTCATCAGAACAAATGGACAATTTCCTATTCTTAATAATTTCTTTTAAAAATATCTATTACTAACAGTGCCAATAATATTCCAACCAAACCAAACTTACTGCTGTCGAGTGGATTCTGAGTTGTAGCAACCCTACAGAACAGAGTAGAACTGTCCCATAGGGTTTCCAAGGCTGTAAATCTTTACAGAAGCAGACTGCCACATCTTCCTCCCACAGAGCAGCTAGTGAGTTCGAACCACTGACTTTTTGGTTAACAGCCAAGTGCTTAACTACTGTGCTACCAGGGCTCCTCTTAATATCATTATTTATAGTAAAATTCTTAAAAATATTATGATAGGAAAAATAAAGTACATATAACTAACACATATACCCAAAGTTAAACAAGATTAGCTTTAAAAATTTTATTTTCATACTTAACTTTAGAAAAATATATAGTAACTTAATAATCAACTAAATAGTACCTTCAGTAGTCTACAGGAAGGAAACTGTGGCAGAGAATGTAATTTATTCCTCCGCAAATAAAGTAATTCTAGTGATTCCATGCCAGCCAATTCAGAAGGTATAGTTTCCAAGAGATTTGAATTGCAATCCAAATGCTTTAATCCTGTAATATATAATTAATGGAAAATAAAGATACTTTACTAGAGAAAAAAATAATGGCCTATGCTCATACATATCTTCAAAGAATGTGTAAGTAATCACCAGGAGGATTTATGAACCTATGCCATTGAACACTGCTAATCAGGAACACTACAATACTATCTAACTAAATAAATGTAAACTAAGTATTTTTTACATTTAATTATAATTACAGAGAAATAATGATATTAAAATTAATATTTAATAATAGTCCAGGTCATCTTTGTAGTAGATTTAAAAATAAAGCTCTCCAGTACTCTGTTAAAGTATTCTGAAATGTATAAACTGTATACTCTGAAATATTGTTTCCCTCAATTATTATGCATCTTTAAAATGAAAAAACTTAATATAACTAGAGACATATAAACACACATGAACACTAGTTGTATAAATCGAGGTCAAGTATCGCTGGCTAGTAGTAGCTTAGAAACATCTGTATTTCCAGGCAAGTTGACTTTCTGCCAAAAAGCATTGGATTTCTATGTATTCTCTCCCATTCTACCATCTTTCCATATGATCTTCTGCCCTTCCTGTCTTCCTTCCTTCCTTTCTTTTTTTAATTACATGCTTTCCCTAATGTCTTAACTGTCTTGACAAGACTGTCTACTATAGCTCAAGTAGAATGCCCTTACTTGCAGTATCATATTCTTACCCCTGGCTCTTTCTTAAAGAAAGGCAGAACACAAAAATTGGAAAAAAAGTAAAGGAATTCCTTCCCTTATGACTTCCATAAGCAGTTTTCTCCTTAACTCATATCGCAGATTCCTAAATTTATGTTGTTACGTTATTAGGTGCTGTCGAGTTGATTCTGACTCATAGCGACCCTACGTACAACGGAACAAAACACTGCCTGGTTCTGCACCATCCTCACAACCATTGCTATATTAGAGTCCATTGTTAGTTACTGTGGCAATACATCTTGTTGAGGGTTTTCCTCCTTTTTGCTGACCCTCTACTTTGCAAAGCATGATGTCCTTCTCCAGGGACTGGTCCCTCTTGATAACATGTCCAAACTACGTGAGACAAAGTCTCGCCACCCTCGCACCTAAGGAGCATTCTGGCTGTACCTCTTCCAAGAGAGATTTGCTCATTCTTCTGGCAGTCCACGGTATTTTCAATATTCTTCACCAATACCATAATTCAAACATTTCAACCCTTCTTCGATCTTCCTCATTGAATGTCCAGCTTTTGCATGTATACAAGAGGGGAATAATCTCTTGGTGAACGTGGGTGGAAAGAAGGAATGAAGGAAGGCTGGCTCAAAACCTTAGTCAATTTCTCAGGTATATAATTTTATTACAATTTCATAACCTTATTTTCTCTTCCTTTGTGATATGCCTAAGTATCACTTTGTTGGTAATAATGGCCTGGAAAAAATCTGACTAGTTTCTATCGTTTGCACTTACCATCATAAAATCAATTACTTTACTTTTCTGTAACTATGTTAAAAAGTATTTTTCTAAATGTAAGTAGTACCAACTTCAAATTTATATATTTTAAAAAATAGAGACGATTTACTTTTCATTCTACTTATTTCTGCCGGCAAACTCTTCAGTTGATTACTGGAAAGATTGAGCCGCACCAGACTGGACAGAGAAGAAAAACTAGCAGGAACAGTTGTAAGTCGATTGCTGGAAAGATCCTTTAAAAAGAGAGAGAAAGAATTAATGAATTAACAGATAAATAAATAAATAGTCCCTAAAGAGTATTTTCTACCACCCGTCTGTCAGTTTATCGTACTGTGGTGGCTTGCATTTTGCTGTCATGTTGGAAGCTATGCCACCAGCATTTGGTATTTCAAATACCAGCAAGGTCAGCCATGGTAGACAGGTTTCAGTGGAACTTCCAGGCTAACACAGACTAGAAACAAAGGCCTGCTGATCTACTTCTGAGACTTTAGTCAATGCAAACCTTATAGATCACAACAGAACATTGTCTGTCTCCCTTGCTTTGGATACGTCATCAGGAGGGATCAATCGCTAGAGGAGGACATCATGTCTGATGAAGCAGAGGGCCAACAAGTGCAAAGGAGGCCCTAGGTGAGATGAATGGCACCATAACCTCAACAACAGACTCAAACATGCCAGCAATCATGAGGATGATGTAGAATTGAGCAACATTTTGTTCTGTTGTACCAAAGGTCGCCATGAACCAGAGTCAAAGGAACAGTATCTCCCTATCTATCTAAAGGGTATTTTACATTTCAGAACTCTGAAGGAATTGCAACATTAAAAAAGACTACTTCAGAGGTGATGAGTTTTATAAATTTCACTCACTGACCATTTTAGATCATTAATCTTTTTGATATAATATAGCTAAAGTCCTTTAGATGGGGACACCATATAGCAGAATCTTACTCCTTTTGTGGTAAAGTGAAAACAAAAAGGATACATGATGGACTCAAAATGACTTACGTGCAAATGCTGACTTTGTTATTTTTTAGTTGCGTGCCTTCATATAACTTTCTTTTCTTTTATAAGCCTTAGGTTTTTAAATATATTAGGGGACCAAAAACTACTTGTGATAAAGCACAAAGTAAAGTGTCTACAGATTTTATTATTCTTAATACCCACTGCTATCAAATCAATTCCAACTCATGACAACTCATGAAGTTGCCAAGGATTTCATTTTACTTGGATCCACAATCAACGCCCATGGAAGCAGCAGTCAAGAAATCAAAAGACACATTGCATTGAACAAGAAAAGACCTCTTTAAAGTGTCAAAAGGCAAAGATGTCACTTTAAAGTCTAAGGTGCGCCTGACTCGAGCCATGGTATTTTCAATCACCTCATATGCACGTGAAAGCTGGACAATGAATAAGGAAGACCAAAGGAGATTTGAAGCATTTGAATTATGGTGTTGGCAAAGAATACCAAATATACCATGGACTGCTAGAAGAACAAACAAATCTGTTTTGGGAGAAGTACAGCCAGAACGCTCCTTAGAAGCAAGGATGGCGAGACTTTGTCTCATATACTTTGGACATGTTATCAGGAGGTACCAGTGCCTGAACAATGACATCACAGTTTGCAAAGCAGAGAATCAGCGAAAAAGAGGAAGACCCTCAATGAGATGGATTGACACAGTGGCTGCAATAATGGGCTCAAGCATAACAATGACTGCGAGGATGACACAGGACTGGGCTGTGTTTTGTTCTGTTGTACACAGGGTCACTATGAGTCTGAACCGACTTGATGGCACCTAACAACAACAATAGCAACCCTATAGGACAGCATAGAACTGCCCCATGGAGTTTCGAAGAATGTATGTAAATCCTTCCAGAAGCAGACTGCCATCCATCTTTCTCCCACAGAACAGCTGGTGGTTTCAAACCGCCAACCTTTCAGATAGCAGCCCAATGCTTAACCACTGTGCCACCAGGGCTCCTATTATTCTTAATAACATGATTAAAATAATATTTTTATTGCTTTACGGTTTTCTCTATTTAAGCTGAACAAAATGAAAATTTTGCCAGGAAATGTGGCCATTTTGGGAAATAGGGAAGAAAAGGCAGGCGTTGGAGGGATTATCTGAACACTCAGAGAACAAGAAGGCAAGAGATGCCATAGGGAAGTTAAGCGGAAATGGATATAGAAAAGGGAATTGCTATATGCTAAAGATAACTTCCTCTACCCTGCTGTGCTGTAAAACCCTCTGAATAACAAAGTCATTCTCACTGCCCTTTTCCCAACCCTATTCCTGAATTAAAACTTAAGTTGATTTAATAAAAACAAATCTCAAATTGCTAATTTAGCAATATAACTCAAATGAAGTTTCTGATAAGCTAGTCATAAACTCAGCTGTCCAAGTTCCCAGGATTTGACTCCACCAGTCTGATGAAAAATCTCACTAGCCCTAAATTATATAAAAATCAGAAAACCACAACTTACTAAATCTTCTAAACTGGAGAGTTGTTCAAATCCCTCTGGTATGCAAGTTAGTTCATTATGCTGGAGATACAGGCCCTTCAGGTTTCTTAGATATGTAATTTCTTCCGGGAGTATTTTCAGTTTGTTATGGCTGTTGATTGATAAAATAAATGCTGAATAATTTGGTGACAATACAATAAATATTTATCAAAGTTGTAGAGGCATTTTTGCTAACCAACTACATGGGCTCATTTACAAAGTGAAATATGATTACTGATTTTTAAGTACTTATCAAACTTCACATCCCAAAAGTATACACTCATTAAAATGACAGCCATCTAGAGTAACCAAATTAGCAATTCCAAAGAAAAATGAAAGAAGAGAGGGAGGGAGGGAAGAAAAAAAGGTTTTAAACCAAACAAATAATTTGTGAATGTGTGACTGCTTGCTTACAATCAATTCTTAATTTTGTGTGTAATATGAAACAACAAACTGAACTCTTAATTATATATGACTTTTAGAATTTTGACAAAAACATATGTACATACACACTACAATGGAGTCACATTTTATGCGGGCATTAGGTTTTAAACTTAGCACTGCAGGCAAAAACAGCTATTTCTGTTTGAGAACATGGCATACTAAGTTGGATGTAATATGCCACTCCACTATTCTTTGTACTTGGCCTTAACTTTTCAAAAAGCTCAGCTCTTCTGTGAATATACTCAGCACCCCGGTTCAGGGGAAGTCTCAATTCGCTAAGGATGATACACCTACTGATAATTAAGAGATGTCGGAATATGTTTCCAACTTTATCCCAGCTTAACGATTCACCTATCAATTACACTCTATTTTCATGCCACATACAGTTACTTCACAAATAGCAGGAAAAAAATGGGGGAAGGGGGATTACAATAACCCTAAATTACATTAAAATACAACTAGTTGGAACAAAAAAGCCAAAAGATATCTTCTAAAATAAGAACCACTAAAAATTGTTAAAATTGGTTACCACTGTCTGTTACTTAGCTGAAATCTTTGTTAGGGAGTTAGCTGGGCAGAGATATAATTCTAGCTTTATACTTCTTGCATCTCCTTTTCTCACTTAATTCCTCCACCCTAACATTCACACTCCTAAGTGTTAGAATCTAAAGCGAAAGCCGCACCCACTTCACGCTCCCTCTCTTCTTAACCTTACCCACTCTTGTCTTTGTAGGCAACATCTATACCTTTTTGTAAGGGGAAGAAGTTCTGATAGTTCTAAACTACTAGCACTATTTTATGTGTAGATATTTTTGCTGAGTTATGGTAATCTGAAGTTTTTCACCAAACAAAAACTGTCATTTGAGGGACTGTTTTCCCTCAAACCAGTTAACTTGCCTCCAGAAAACTGAGATTTGATGGTTAGTTCTGTAACATATCTACTTCATAAGTCAAGGTTTTTCAAAGTATATTAAAGCATTTAAACTTTTTTTTTTACTAAGTGAAATCTTGCCTAATCCCCAGTATACAACAGTACAGATAAGGCAAGGGCATTCTTTCTTGAAAATCTAGGTGTGTACTGGGGGGCAAAAAGAGTTACCTAGAGCCTAGCCACCTGGCCTCCAACGTGCTTGTCCATGATAGTATTAGAAGCAAATCTGTGGAACCCAAGGAGCCTTTGAAAAAGTTTAAAAACTACTACTATAAAATTTTTCATCACTAATGAAAACATCTAGATGTGTTTTAGAAGATTAATGTAACAAAATCTGAGATGTCAACAAAGATGTTTTCTAAAATCTAAAATTATTTCATAAAAGTGAAAGAAGAAGTATTTTTTAAAAAAATCAACCAGCCCTAAATTCACAGGATCAGAAAACACACAGGTAATTCTAAAACCAAAAATAATCTGTGATTTAGAACTCAAAATTCTTATTCTGCTTTAACCATTTTCGGAGACAATATGAAGATACTTTCTTAGTCTAGACAAGACATTTAAACAATATTAGATTTACATACTTACAATAGCAATAGGAGAAATAAATAAGCTTAAAATTTACCTGACATTAAGTTTCTGAAGATTTTCTAGCTCTCTTATAGCAGAAGGAAGGGATGTCAGCTGATTATCATGTATCTAAAAATTATTAAAAGACAAAGTCAAAATTTTAGTCTTAAAATTAACCATATATGTACTTTCCATTGGACCAAATTCTTTAACAATAATTCTGTTATTTGAATTCAACGGCAACAAGTTGAACTACTGGTAATTAGCTCTGTGTGTAGAAGAGGAAAGGAGTTTGAATCTGACCAAACTGCTGTTGAGAAATCATGAAGTATTAAGTCAACCATTTTAAATATTACAGTAAGAAAAAAAAAATCACCTCATTGAGTGGAATTTTTATTTCAAATGAGATAAGGGGTTTAGGAACTAACGACACCCCTCATGGTATGCTTTATGCCAACATACACAAAAAAAAAGTATATTAAAAGGAAGAGGGAGACTTTTTTTGTATCCTCACAGAATCATACTGTTTTCAAGCTGATAAAGTCAGAAATTGAACCCTGGTGTTTTCACTGACTCTGCACTTTTAACCATTCTGCTATGCCTAACACAGTATTTTTTTGTTTTTGCTTGCATTCTACCAATTGAACATTGAAGGTTTTCTGCTTATCAAAGCCTGAATTTACCTCTGGAGTCTCTTAAACTAATGACTCATATTTATTATCAGTCAACTTACATCAAGAAAAGTCAGTGCAGGGAGGAGTCTGAGGTCATCTGTAAGTGACTGAAGTTTATTGTTTGATATGATTAGTTTGGTCAAGTCCGTCTGCTCCCACCATCGCTCAGTAGCACCGAATGAAAGATTCTGATTAGCTTCCTCAGGGATATCCACGTTTATTCTCCAAACACATTGAGGCACTATTTCAACCATCACCAACCCCCAAAAAAAGACGAAAACAAGAAGTGAGATATTAAGTGATATACTCTGATAATTGTTATTTAACATCATTGCTTGTCTACTGAAATAATTCATGTTATTGAAAACACTTTAAGACTGTCAATAAATCAAACAGCAATGAATTAAGGCTAGATTAGAATGAAAGTTTATTTTAAAAAAACTAACTAATATGTATTTTACACAATAGATCACACTTTTCAACTTCATTCAACTATATCAGGTATACACTCTGCACAGCCCACTGTGGTAGACATACAAGGCAAATAAAGCATGGATTCTACCCTGAAACTAACAGAATGATGAAGAAGGCATTGAAATCAACATTTATAACATAACGGTATAATTTTTATAGCAGAAATATACACTAAGGCTGAGAGAGGGCTGGTAATAATAAAAATAGCTAATAAGAGCTAACATAAATATCAGGCAACGTTCTAACATACTAACTCATTTAAATATAACAACTCTATGAGTTAGTATGTACTATTACTACGCCCATTTTATAGATGAGAAAAACAGGGCACAGAGAGACTGTAATTTGCCCAAGGTTATACAGCTAGTAAGTAGCAGAAAATGGGATTCAAATCCTAGTAATGTTACACTGCCATCCCTCTTAGATAATATTTAGGAAGAATATCTGACTCTGGTAGCTACTCTATGTATTTTCCCTGCTATGCAATTTTATTTTTTACTACACTATACAACACTGTGTTATTCTAGGAAGCAAATGACAGCAATTCCTATAACGCGGCAAATAAGACTGTATAAATTAAACAGGGACAGTCCATGTGGTCACTGTAAAACTTGAAGCTTCAAAAGCTATTAGTACGTTGTATCAAAATTATTTTAAACAAAGTCTTCAATTCCTTGATTAAAGTAGGACTACATAGAGGTATAATTTAGAATTTTGAGCTGATGTTAATCATGGCTATCACTGGTTATACCCTGCTGCTATTGTATATCATTTCAAAACCATCAGAGATTAAATGGAAAGGTATGGTCAAAGTTTCAGGTTCAGAACGCTGAAGTAAAATTCAGGATGTGTAATCTGATTAGAATGGTTTTATAGAAGCAAAGTTCCTAAGATGCATGTGACTTCTACTTTAAAAATAAAAAAAAAAAAGAGGTAGCCATGTTCATATTAGGATAAAATATAAGATCTCTCTCCCACTCTTTCTCCCTGATTAGGCACTCTCTCCCTTCTCTACTCTTCTACTGCTGAATCTCCAGCAAATATAAATACACAGAATGTGAATGAACCTGTATTTTGCTTTGTTTTTAAAGCTTATTTTTAAAGCAAAGCAAAACCGAAAAATTCACTTCTTTCCATTCTTGAGAGCAAAAGCACTATAAAATCTGTTATTATTATTTTGGTGTGTAGGTATAGATGGTTCCGTGGGAATGAGAAAGAGATGAGCCTAGCAATTGCCATGTGAACTTGACACCAAAAAAATCAGTAGAAATGGGAACACTTATGTATTTGACTAAAAATCAGTGTGACTATTTTAAAAAAAAGCTATCAGTATGCCATATAGGTTTGTGTCATCACCAACAAAAGGCTCCAGAACAAAAAAGACAAGACAAAACAATGAAAAAGAACATGTATGGAAGAAACTAATATGCTTAATTCTGCTTCAAAAGAAGATATGCAGACAATTTCTGCACACATTTTTCTCTAACACCTATACTTTGGTACATAGTGGTGACCGCACTTAAATAGCAATCTAACAACAAATTGCCTTTTTGGGGGATAGGAGAGTGAGGAGCACAAGACACTGTTACAGAACACAATACAGACACTTGGTACCCATCAATCACACTAAATGAATGTTAACATTTTATCATTATTACTTCAAATATTTTTGTGAACAAAATCGGTGGGAACTATCAATGGATAGAGAACTGCTGATATCCTATTACTGGACATGTACCAATTTGCTTTCCCCCAAGCAATGACTTATTGCTCATTCTTCACTAATCATTGTGAGGTATCCCAATTTCTCCTAGAGCTCATAGCATCAAGGTTCATGTCACCTTTGCTACTTATAAAAACTGAAGAACAACTGAAAGGTATAATCTTAACTACTGAGGAGTTCTGTGGAAGCATTGTAAAAGTAGTTTACCAATCTATAAAATAGAAACTATCAGGTAAAAATGAACTTCAATATGTATTCCAAATATGAAAAAAATTGCTATGGAATTTTTTCTTTATATTAACTTAAAAATTTACATGGAGGGACAAAAATGTGTAGTCATTAAACTGCAGGCACAATAAACCATGTGATCTAAAAATCTTTTTTGACTTTTTTTTGGACAGCTACATACATATAGCAATTGATCACCCAAGGTATACAATAGTAATTGTTTCCTTAAGGTAGAAAATCATCCTTTCCATTAAGGTCTGTATCCTAGTCTGTCAACTCCCATCTTTTAAAAAACTATAAACATTAAAACTAAGATACACAGCATTTCATCATGGATAGACCATTGACCTAAGAGTCAGGAATCTCAAACTCTGGTTAAAGCTGTGCAACTAATCAAATTGGCCAGTAACCTAGTATCCCTAGTCCCCAATTTCCTTGTTGATTAAATGAGACGGCCTCATTATCATTTGAATGCTAGCATCCAACAACAGTAATACAAAAATTCTATATGCTAGGTGTAGGTAATCTTTTTATAACAGTCTATCCAACATTCACTGAACTGTCTATCCAATTATGAACACTTTAAAAGCATGGACCAAGAAATAAGCTACCATGTGAAGGATCAGGAAAAGCTCATTGGAAAACATTACAATTTTCTCCATAGTGCTTTATTCATGACCACAATGGCCTCTGTACATTAAACAAAGCCAAAAAATCAGACCAAACCCATTGCCATCAAGTTGACTCAACACATGGTGGCCCCACGTGTTACAGAGTAGAAATGCTCCACTGGGTTTTCTTGGCTGTAATCTTTATGGAAACAGATTGCCACACCTTTCTCAGACCTTTCTTCTGCAGTATCACTGGATAAGTCCAAACTACCAAACTTTTCGTTAGTAGCCAAGAGCAAATCTCTTGCATTACCCAGGGGCCAAGAACTCCCATACTGACAAACCACGATACTGCAGTCTTTAAAGTTTAATAAGAAAAAACGTATACACACACGAGAGGAAAGTTAAACAGTTATATGGAAGGCATTAACTCAGTTCGACAGCAACTAACAAAAACAACTCAGTTGCAGTTTGAGATTGATTCAAAGGATATATCTTTGTGGTTTAGACCACTTGAGACATTGTTACGTTAGAAAGCATGAAAGGAACTGTTCTGTCCTGAAGTCCGGTGAGAATACTGTAAGAAAAATAAAATGTTTAAGAGATGAAAAGGAAACATTTTTATCAATCTCTCTGAGAGAAAAAAATGTCTGAATTTATTGCTGTAACTTGAGGGTACATTCAGCTGTATAGTAAACATGATAAACCTCACTGAAACTGTTTAACACCATTCTTCATAATTTGTATTCTTCCTGGGACAACATCTATGACAGATGACACTCAGTTTTAAATTCATATTTAAATTTGCACTAATTCATTAAACAATTTATAAAATAATTGGAATTCATAATAAATAACTTAGGATATACATCACAAGAGATCAAGACACTAAAGTTTAGAAACTACTATCTTAACGGATCAAGAAACAGGAATGGGGTTTTTCAATTAGCTATCTACTTCCTTGTTTTATAATCCACACAACTAGACTTCCTTGGATTTCATACACTAGAAATTAAATGTTCACCTCAAGATTTTGTCATTATATATAAATTAAGGCACTTTCTTTTTGCTTCCATTTTTAAGAATTATCTTAGGGATTAGCTTGTTTTGACAAAGCTACTCATCTGGAACTACTTTTTTTTTTTCCTGGAATTATTTATTATTAAAATAATCTGCATACTCTGGCTAGTTAATTCTAATTAGCTGCTTAGAAACAACAAGTTCCATTCAGACAACCAGTAGTCAAGATACAGAATCAAGCTACATAGTAAAACAGAACATGGTTCATACAGATTTAAGGATGACTAGTTAAAGTTCCAGTAAACATATGGTTTGTGTTACACTTTTTCTCCTGTCATAACAAACTGCACATCCTGAATAAGGCAAATTCGCATTACCCTAAAGCAGGTATCATGCCTTCTTGAGGCCTAGGAGCCCTAGACTCAGTTACTTAATTCCACAAATGGAAATTAACCAAACTCCTCTCTTCAAGACAAGATAGCCTTATATCCATATTTGTCTCTCAAATAATATTGTTTCCAAACTAATTGGCTTGTTTAACAAATTATCTACTTACCACTTTTCCTGTCAGTTCAACAGTGTTGCTTCTTTAGAATTTATAGCACTGTTTTGTTCCAAACTCTGGCAACTTCGACTTTTCCTCAGTTTCAGGTGAGTCATACAGAAGCATCCCTACATTAGTGTTCTGCCACGGTCGTGCAACCAGAGAACAACAATTAATACCTCTTTTTCTACTCAATCTTCATTTTATCTGGTCCAATGAAAAAAAAGCTACAATATGTATATTGAACCAAAGTGATACTTCATGTTGCTGTTCATAAACAGAACTGTCACTTAAAATTCCCAAAACATTTACAATATTCTTCCTTGAAGTTGATTATTAACAGTTATTTCTGTTTGTATATACTTTTCTAAATATGTTATGGAATTGACACTCAAAATGATGACTTAAAAATGTTGACAATATTGGAATGTTTAAGTAAATTCTGGTAGTCATACCATGAATATTATACAGCCATTAAAAATAATCAGTTTTTTCAAATGACAATAAAAAATGTACAAATATGTAAACTACAAATACCACAAGCCTCTCCCATTTACATCTTTTCCCTCCAATGAAATACTGTACTCACTCATTCAAAGTCATTTGAGTACCTAGTATGTAATGGGTATTGTGTTGGGCTGTTTATACAGTAATAACCTAAATAGTCCTGATCATGTCATCATGGAGTTGAGTTAAAATTCATTTGCTTCCTAAAACTTTAATAGACTAAATCACCTGGGTCCAGTCTGTAAAAACACTCCAACACACACACCACTTAGCATTTGGGAATATTCATTCATAATCTTATTCCTTCCACAAATACTTAATGAGAATCTACTATGTACTAACCAGAGTCCGTAGGCGGTGCAAAGTTAACACACTCAACTGCTAACCAAAAAGTTGGAGGTTTAAGTTCACCTACAGTGTCTCAGAAAAAGCCCTGTGGATCTACTTCCAAAATAACAGCCATTGAAAACCCTATGGAACACAGTTCTATTCTGACACACATGGGGCTGTCATGAGTCGAAGCTGACTTGATGGCAACCACTATATACCAAAGCACTATTTTGAGTGCTAGGAATATGAACAAAACAAAAAACGACCTCCTAGAACTAACATTCTTGTTGGAGGACAGGGAAGACAATAAGCAAACAAATAACATAAATTCTGGCAGTGACAAATGCTACTAAAATAATTTAACAGGTAAGAGGACAGAGTGTTAGTAATAATATTTTTAGATACGGTAGTTAAGAAGAGTCTCCCTGAGCAGAGTCCTAAAGGAGGCAAACAAGTGAGCCTTATGCAGGTATCTGAGGAAAAGTGTTCCAGGCTTTGTGAAAAGGAAGTGCATATGCACGTCTGTAGTTTTTAATATCTATGTTCCCATTGATTTAAAAAAAAAAAAAAACTCTTCAAGGTAGAGCTGAGATCTTATGTCATATATATTCTTTCATTCATTCAGCCAGTATTTGTTTGCATGGTGTACTTGACACATGGCACAGTAAGAAAGTATCATTAGAAGGAAAATGGAAAGCTTTTATCACAGATAGTCTAAACACCTGAATATGAGTAGAGGAAAACATTACAGGAAGAAAGCTATTCTCTCTCTTTTTCCTACACAACAGATAATCAATCAGAAGAGCATCTGGCCATCCATTCATGGTATTTATGGTAAAGGCTTGTTGGCCTTTACCAGGTTTTTCAGGATGGCCCTAAATTCAAATACTTTGTATGGCATCTATACAGAGCCTTAATTTAGGAAATACACTTATTCCTTTAATTAAGACTCTGTCCAGTAGCACACAGAAGAACTTCTTGGCAGAGGATAAATAGCATTCACTTTGAGCTCACAAAGGGGCAGATAAAATAAGCTTTTAGCGTTGGTAAGTGCCCTTAGGGATCAGTCCAAGCCTCTCAAATTAAGAGGATAAAATTGAGGGCCAAAGAAACAAAGAATGTGCCCATCATCTGATAACTAGTTATACATTATGTTGTTTATTCCTTAAAATGGGAGAATCACAGAAAGCTACCCGTTTAAACTTTGGCCATAATCCCAGCAAGGTCCCTTCATCAGGGATCAAAGAAGGGAAGGAGGATCAAAATGGGACTGACCAAGCCAGGTGAAATATGATGAGTGCCTGGATTAGAGCACAGAGATACCGGCTAGGATCCTGAGACAAAGATGGCCAAAGGAAAGGGAGGCGGACCGGGCAAGGGCTTCCGAGAAGAAGCGGGTCGTACCGCCGAATCTTACCTTCACTAAGGTTCCTACCAGACAGGTTTAACTGGCCGCTCTTCCTCGCCGCCTTTAACAGCCCCTGGGGTACTGAGGTAGTGCATTCCCTCCGCTCAGCTCTGAAACCTGCCCGAGGATCCCACCCCGCTGCTCCCTTCAGGCGCGACATGTTCAAACCTCAGGTCACAGAAGCGGCAACCCAACCCATGACGCTTAAAGGAAGCGCCGCTGCTGGGCCCCTCCCCTCCCGCATGCACTGAGCTAGTGGCCTAGCGCTGGTCCTTCGCTATTTGCGTCGCTGTCCAGATGTCGTCACCGTTAGCGCCTGAAGCTGGAGGACAGAGGAGGCCTTCCGGTTGTCGGTGCCGGTCTTGTGTCTTGGAATTCGCTAAAGTAAGTGCGTTTAACGGGCATAAGGCAGGCTTTAGAGTGTGTGCTGTGCCCTGTTACTGCGATACCAACGTTCTCTATGCTCCCGCCGTAGCGAGGGTGTGGGAAAAGGACAATCCTTTCGTCTCTCCTCGCCTGGCTTCAGGCTGGGCCTTGACTTGAGACCTGGGCGCGGTTTACAGCCTTTCTGGACCAGAGCCTGTGTTTGTCGTTTTTGGTGGTGACGCTAGATTTTCAGACGTAGAGGAGTAGAACAGATTTCCTGTTCTTTGCGCCTGTACTCTGACTCCTAGAATTATGCACCTTGTCCCGTTGTTGTGTTGAATTTATAGCCCAGCACAGGCGGTAGTATGAAATATAAGGCTTGACAACATAGAAGGGGGGGAAAAAGCGTAGGATTTCATAAATATTCTCCCTACCGGACGATTTAGGAAGACAAATGGAAGCACAAGCTTTAATATAGCATAAACAGATTGGACTTTGGGACCCTAGAGATGTAACTTTGAATTCTAATTGTTTCTGTACCTTCCAAACTATGTAACTTTGGGCAATTTCCTCCACTGCTTTTGAAGTTCACTTCTTTTTCACTAATTTAGGGATAACAATTACCACCTCATAAGATTTTTGAAGTAATTAAGTGAAGATAAAAATTTCCTTTAAATCCAGGTGAAGGGGGATGGACTCAAGTTCGGAAGAGAAAATCAAAATTATGTTCAATAAGTAGATGTTTCCTGGGAGTTACTTTCCCCTTCTGGAATGTATACCTTAATTGATTCATTAAGCAAATAATTCTTGACGACTTCTCCTCATTTAGTTCTTGAGTTCTGGGGTGCTAAACTTTGCTTGAAGTGATTTCGTTTTAAAAAACATATATATACCAGGAAATATCCTCCTAATCTTCATCAAGTCTGGTGGGAGTTGGTAGGATATTTGAAAGGTAGGATGATCATCCTTTGAAAAATCCTGCCTTGCTCGGTTTTGCATGAGTCCAGCTTCTTGCTACCTGTAAAATTTGTTTTTTAACACTGTCTTCTCTTTTTTTGTTTTTCTTCTTGGGTATGTAGAATCCTTTACACTAAAAGTGAACAGCAGAATAGTACCAGTATTACACTACCAAGCAAGGGAAGAGTGACTTTTAAAAGGTGGAAAAAAATAAAATAAAATAACATCTTATTTTGATTTTTAAGGAGTTTTTCTTACCTACGAAACCAAAAATTAACCATAAAAAGAAAAACAAAAACCTGACCCAGACTACACCAGGAACTGCTCTGCAGCATTGTAAATTTGTCCTTTATGACCAAAAAGAAAGTAGTCAATAACAAACCCGTTATTTTGATTTAATGAAAAAGACTATGTGCTTCCTTAATTTTAAATTTCAAGAAGTCTCATAGCTACAAATGGGTAAAGTCAAATTTTCAGGAGTTACTTTTAATGTTAACTCAGTAACCATCTAGTACTCGGCCACCACGGAAACTTGTATTCATTAAAAAAAAAAGAAACTTTAAGCCTCTGTGAAATCTTCAATCCTGAGGAGCATTATTTCCTTCATTTTCCTTCATGAAGGGAGACTTGCACTCCTCCAATTTGCAGAGGGTTTATTAAATCATGACACAATCAAATATTACTGTTTCGAGCTAATTCAAAGGTTTATTTTTCAACAATTGTAACTAAGCCTACTTTGAGCCATTTGTTTTTAGAAACAAAATGATCTCCCTGAATGCACATAAAATGACTGCTTGGAATAAATCTTATGTTTTAATTTCTTTGTATTTTGATTATTTTTAACAAAAGCGAAGATCACAACAGCTTTTGCAGGGTCACTAATGAGACTTCAGTCAGTTTGTCTCGACAATAATACTTATTAAGCTCTATGCCAGGCTTAATGCTATTAATACCTGTATTTTTGATCTTTTATTTAACAGTCACCCATATTGCAGATAAAGAAACTAAGGCTAAAAGGGGTTAAACTTGCCCGAGGTCACAAGTTTTTATAAGTGGCATGGTCAGGTGTTTCATCCTAGATCTGTTGTCAGGACCATTCTTAACCTCTATAACTTGTGTTTAAAAAAAAAAAGTTTCTGTCTCGTCAACTTCGACTCGACTCTGACTCATGGAAACCCCATGTGTGTCAGAGTAGAACTGCTCAGTTTCAGTGGCAGATTTTTTGGAAGTAGATTGTCAGGCTTTTCTTCCGAGGCACCTCTGGGTGGTCTCAAACCTCCAACCTTTCAGTTAGCAGCCAAGTGTGTAATGCTTACACCACCCTGGGACTCCATGACTTGTGTAGTGGGTTTTATTTCATAATTTTCAACTTTCTTTGATCCCGAGAACCATTTTAAGGGACACTTCAATTGTGTTTTTAAGGAGATTTATTAGAGAAAAATCTTTTATCTTTTATAGGAAGCAACAGTCTACCTTTGAGGGGGAGATGAATTGCCCAGATATCAAATTTTACAGTAGGTCCCTCCTCACAATGAATTCTTTAGTTAAACATTTTTAAAAATAACCTTAATATGTAATTTCCCTATTCATTGTGCTTCCTCTTGGAGTTAAATAGTTCATTAATAATGTTTAATTACAATATTACATTGAAACATTAGTTCATTTTGTGTAAGAGAAGCATATCCTGTTTAATGGCAAAATTCTGAAAAAATTCACATGGCCATATACTTTAGGTAAACTTCAGTATATATTAACAGACATATGTAAAAATGTGACTAGTACATATCAACAGTACACAGTATATTGTACCTATGTAGCAAGTACAGATAGAACAAGTGATGGTGAAAAATACTACCTCATGCAATCAGGAAAATTACATGTTTTATCTTAATTTAAGGAGCCCTGGTAGCACAGTGGAAACCCTGGTGGCGTAGTGGTTAAGAGTTCGGCTGCTAACCAGAAGGTTGGCAGTTTGAATCCACCAGGTGCTCCTTCGAAACCCTATGGGGCAGTTCTACTCTGTCCTATAGGGTCGCTATGACTTGGAATGGACTCAACAGCAACAGGTTTGGTTTTGATTTTATCTTAATTTTATGGGGGCTGCAAAAGATAATCAACTTGAATTGAACTACTTTATGAAATAGTTATATTAGTGTGAATTAGCTCATTAGGTCGATTGTATTAAGAAGAATGCGTTAAAAAAAAATTTTTTTTTCAACGCTGACATTTAAGCCAAAGTATTTGCTTTTTTAAAAAATGGACTTGATGATATTATTAAAACAATATGAAATGGTTGAGTGTATCACGTGTAGGATCTGGAGACTGCTGCTACCTGTGTAACTGAATTTGTCTAGCTGTTTGTTATATTCATTCTATTTATGTAATGGAACGTTTAACTCTTCTAGCTTCTTTGCTGAAGGAGCCCTGGTAGTGCAATGGTTAAGTGCTCAGCTGCTAACCAGACGGTCAGCAGTTTGAACCCACCAGCAGTTCCACAGAATAAAAAATCTGGCAATCTGCTTTCGTAAAGATTACAGCATAGGAAACCCTATGGGCAGGGCTTCGAACCGATTCTTCCCAGTTCAGTCGTGGCCAAGGAAGCGAAACTGGAACAGACCCAAATTTTAAAAAATTTGGGTGAACTGGAATGATAACCAGAATGGGAAAAATTATGGGTCAAAGCCGTGCTAGAAACCTAATTTCCCTCTTAGAAAACAAGGGCAGCATACGTGTTGCATAGGCAACCACATCTCTTGCCTGTGGAATTTTGAGCAGAGTTGGAAACAGCGGTGCTCTGTTCAAAGATGGCGGCCAACCCCAGCTGCTTTGCATGTGTATCGCTTTCCACAGTCCTGCCAATAATCCAATCTCATGCATCAGGCTCGTGAAACAGCTCACTATGCCTCTTCCAAGTCCCCCATTCCAGAGCATTGACCCATAATTCTTCCCATTCCAGTTATCGTCCTGGATCACCCAAATTGTAAAAATTTGGGTCTGTTCCAGTTTAACTTCGTTGGCCCTGACTGAACCAGTTTGAACTTGTTTGAAGCCCTGCCTATGAGGCAGTTCTGTTCTGTCCTATAGGGTCACTATGAGTTGAAATTGACTGGAAGACATACTACAACAACAACAGCTTCTTTGTTAAATGAAAAAGAAAGTGAAGAAAAAAAAATATGTTGAGCCTGAGAATTACATCAGCCAAAGAATGCTATCCCATCTCATAACGGAAAGTAAGACTATTATCAAAGTTAGATAGAGTAGCTTGACTATCATTAAAATAAATCATTTTTGAACATAGCTGTATTACTCTTATAATCATTGTTACTTGTTAGATTTTTTTCAAGCTGAAAGATACAATTGATGAAATGGATTTATTGAACGACACCTGTGAGAAATTGTAATATATAAAAGTGGCAATAGTTTGTGCCTATTTTTTAAGTACATTTGTTTAAAAGGTAGAATAAAAGCAAAGTGAATTTGCTTTGTGAACATTTCTAGGAAGTTTCTGTATAAAGTACCAGTTAGCCTATTTTGAATCAATATTATGTTTTAACACTCGTTTTTGACTGGAATTGTTGGACTTAACATATATTGCTTATTAAATCATTATTTAGTTGAACATTTTTACATTCTCACTTATTACTTGAATAATATTTTCTTTCTATGTTTGTCCCTTATTCTATCAACAGTACGTTGTTTTAAATTATCAGAATTGAGAGCAAATTATCCAGGAAACAGGCTTTTTATATTTTAAATATTCA